GAGGAATGCGCTTGTCAGATAAAGTACCCGCGACTATGCATGCAAACATGAGTGACTTGCACTTCCAAGTTCAAGTTTGTCGGGTTTCCCGAGCGTCGCAAATTACTGATGCTCACTAAGTACGACATTGAGCGGCGGACGGCAATACACTATGATGGTTTGTATTTTAGAATTTTAAATGCGAAGCATTCTGAAGTCGTGGTCATTTTCTAATTTCTGGCTCAATCCACACGATATAGTGCATTGACATGCTTACCAATTGCTGTCGGTTGAAAATTCAATCTGGCCAAAATAATATCTGCTCATCTTGTGATAAGACCATATTATAATCCTAGTCCACATGCTGAGAGAAGCATTTAAAAGCATGTATGTGTCCCACATAGCTTTGGCGATGTACATATAGAATGTGTGAAAATTTACAGCTCACGATATGTTACGTTTTATGAAAAGACCAGTAAACAAAAATCGTAGTAGTTGAAATTTCCGGAGTAAATGCATTTTCATCTGTAAACTGTTCACATGGTCATTTGAACACAGATGGTATTTCCACTTGATGAGTTTTGCATTCTTAATTAATTTATGATTGATTGATGTACATCGGTGTGTCTTGCAGCTCGACTAAATCTGTGTGTTGGTACGGAGTAGTAACTTTCCTATCACACCTCTCAAGAGTCCTAGACTTTAACATTGTTATTGTATGGAGTTTTACATGCTGGACTTACATTTTTTAAGATGACAGCCTTGAAAGCATTTTTGTTATTGTGTTAAAGGCCATTTCATTCCTTTTGATACCCGTGGTGATACTTTATTAGGCTACTAGCTTGTTTGCCCGTCCTAGGACGGAAGTTGTAATATTTACGAAAAAACTGAGCAGAGTACAATTGTATCTTGTGTAAATTTAACGGCGGTGAATCTTGCACGAAAGTATGTCATCAAACACCTCACTGCATTTCGCTGTAGCACTGTATTCATGGCAGTGAATCTGGCACAAAACAAAGTAATAAAACACCTCACTTCAAGTCACTGTAGCACTGTATTTAACTGACCTTCAATTTGTTCAAATTCACTGCTCTGATACTTTATTCTCTTCTGCTTTCGGTCGCTGGGTTGAAATAAATTGGAATATCTGGAAAATCACTGAGAAATGTCTATTTTACCATAATGTAGAATCATAAATTAGAATTATCTTTTGTCGCAAGTGCTGAATTATTGATTAGATTAACTTTCAATAAAGAAACGTCAAACTTAAAGCGAATTTGCAAAAAAAAATGTTTCCGCTCTACCTTCTGCATGAGTGTAGAAATTTACCCGCTCATGAATATTAATGAGTGGGGGTGCGGCATGTGGAGTGACGTCATGCGCGTCACACACAGACATTCTTGGCTCATAGCAGTAATTATAAACTTGGAAATTATTTATTTTACACCTGGAGAAAGGATCGCTTAGTTGTTGATCAATTATGGTGTATTTTTCTCCAAAGCAATTGACTGAAATATGACATGCCTGGAACTTGTGAAAATCGCGCAATCGGCAAAATGCCTACAGTTATTTAAAAAAGGAGTAACTTTGTTTTCCACATGACAGAGTTTGAAAGAGAAACGATAGCTTCTTAATAATCAAACACGTATATTTCAAATTAAATGTTAAGTATGGCTTTGTGCGCAATTAATGGGGAATAAAAAAATATATAATACTCGGCAGTTATTTTATTTTATAAAAGGTCAGCCATGGCTAAGCCTCTTGACGATCCAACTGTCAGAGATTCTCCAAGTAGATTCTGACCTCAGTCAGCTGTCTGTTCGTTAATTGCTTGACATTTCCTCATTTAAAGAAAACCTTCATCTAACAAGCGGAGCATAAAGACCGTCTTGCTGGTGTGCTCGATTGATTTGGTGTACGCAGCGAGACTTCATAGACGTGTCACAGTAAATTACACAGTCTTCCAAACAAAAAGCTCAGGTGGCACAAAGATACCTAATTTACTTAAATTCCACTACATTTATCTCGTTAGTGTGAAATGGCAAAAGAACAAAACAAGATACAGGTTTCAACAATGCTGCACACAGAATTTCAGAAGCTGTAAAGATAGTTATTGTACATTTGGGAAACGGCTGTGTTTAAAAGCACTGTGCTTAATTTTTTTTATCTATTTTACTCTTTCTTTTTTTGCTTTGCTACCAGTCTCTATGGATTATGTAAATTGTCAACTCATTTAATAACAAGCCTTTTAGAGTATAATTTAACTTTCCGAATACAAATAATTCCTCATTTGTATTTATGAGACGCTGAATGAAAATCACATATTTAGGTTTAAGCAATAAAAGTGTTCCTTAAAAAACTATTTGTTATCATTTATCCTGGCACTGTGATACATTATACAGTACCTGATAAGTCCAAGTATTAAAATGCATTTTCCACAAAGCAATGAAATGTCAAGCATATAAAATGATTATTCTCATTTTGACATTGCAGAAATACAATGATTGTGCCATTTACATAATATTTACAGAACTATTATTAAGATGATGGTAATGTTAACCTATATGAACTTGACTTTAATTATACCTTCCTAGTTTCTTTTACATGCATAATAGCTAAGTGAAATTAACATTTACATTAACTTTGCATATAAATGATATCTAAAACTCTATGTAGGACCACAAATACTGTACAACGACAGTATTTAAAAAAATATGACAAGTTTTTTTTCAGGAGCTGCATGGCATGGTAAAAAAAAATGTAATTCAGATACAGAAAGCAGTCCGTATCAACATAATTTTTTTGCCCATTTTTTCCATCCCATCATAATGCACAAAACATTAGTGTATTAAAGGACTCCAAAACACAGTAGGCATTAAATGTGCCATTCTCCATCCATACAATAAACATAATACAACACAAATATCACCGCTAGTTACTTTGCAATGTTCTTGATGCAAGTCTCCATTTGCAGCGAAGGTGTGTGGATCAGAAACGGTGGTGGTGGAGTATTCCTCGATAAAGGATCGCGTGTCGGACCTCGAGAGGAGCTGGCTGGCCCGCACCATCGCATGCCTAATTACAGTGCATGGGACTTTTTCCTTTTTTAATTTACAGGACATTGATCCATGATTCATCAGGCAAATTAATGCATCCCATGTATCTACGTCAGTAATGAAACAAGGCCGACTATTACGTGCGAGCAGGAGGCAGAAGTGGGTGCCGTGTGCGCCCGATGATAGATGGCTCTGGAGGCAGCTCACGTCGCCTTTTAGGCCAGCTGTGGGTTTTGCTAATAGATGAGTTATTTTCAGATCATTGCGGATGATTAATTTAATTAAATATGCATTACACATTTTTACAGTAACAAACTAGCTGAACTGCGTGTATGAAAAAAACCGAGGGTCTTTGGAAATGCCGAATGTATTTCGTATCGACGGAGGCAAAATATAGACGTGGTGTCTTCAGGATGAAAACGATAGAATGTCAGGAATTTCAGGGCATGTTAGGCATTGATTGATATGGATCGAAGCACGTTCAACCTACGAATGCTCTAAAGTGGCAAAAATATAATTTGCCATAATTCAGGAGGGGTCTAGATATATCCTCACTCAACTTAATGCGGAATAGTATTTCCTAAGGCAGTTTTTTTAGAGTTTGGAACTTTTCTGATTTTATTCAATTTGATTTTTAAAAAATGTAGTGCCTTCTGTTTTCCATATTTAAATCATACATATACCAACCTTTTCAGTTAAATGTTTTTGAAACAAGTTATCATTTACTCCTAAATTATATGTAAATATATTAAATGGTGTATTGTGGTTATACACTATACATGTTTAAAGTTCTTGAAGTCAAATGTGGCATTTCTGCAAAAGTCACTAATATTTTATTTGGAAAGTAACTCTTAATCGATTCTGAAGGTTGTGCTTTTTTGAACAAATAAATACCAAGAAATGCTAAGGTCAAAAAGAAATAGTACAAAATATTAGACATTGGATATAAAATTGAATTCCTGTGTTTCAATTACTGTGGGGAAATAAGAATGCATTTTATATTTATAAGCTTAGTATTGTAACTAATTGAACATCATCAATACTGCCCTGTCAGAATTCTTTCCATTTGATGTAAAATTATAACATTTTGGAGATAGTGTATATGCACATTTATCAGACGTGTCAAGGGCACGAGAACTGCTGGAATGCCTTGTGTTGTTCTTGTTACCTGCATGACTTTACTGCACCCTTTGCAGTTATTTGTTTCTCACTGGCTATGAGAGATTTCAGTCGGAATTTAGATGAACATAAGAAAGTGCCATTAACATTCAAAGTAATAATATTTCCCCGTTCAAACGGTGTTCATCTCCATTGGTGGACCAGGACCACTTGTGGAAATTCCACATTCCTATGACAGAGGGCCATTCTTTCTATATGCAAGTCATTGTTGAGTTTCCACCAAGATGTAATCATGACAATATGCTGAACCAATACGTTGGCATGATTGGTATAGCTTAGTTTCTTGACCTTAGTTTGTTTCCCTGGATGTGCTCAACATTCATAGAACCAAATTATTTAATCTTAAAAGAATAATGAAAAAAAGTTAATTGTATAGGCCTCAGCAGAGCAATCCAAGAGGAAATAATTGTCGAAGTGCAATACAAATGTATCTATTTGACTTGCAGTGATTTTAACAGGTGTAGCTCTATGAAGACATCACACATTGTTAGTTAGTACTGCTTTATTTTCGCTTAAAATTTTATTAACAATCTTGCTCTATTCCTCGGAATACCTGGAATAGTGAGGTGTGGTTGTGGTGTAAACCAATGAAATAGTACTCCTCTTGTGACTTTTAATTAACAAAAATGTTGAATTCAAATGCTCTGGATTTCCACTCTCATAGTATTGCCATTTCACATTACAGCACTTTTCATTCACCTTACAAGCATTACAGAACAGCAAAGTGAGGTTTGATATTTGAGTAGTAGAATAGGCATTTAAATTTGCCTTTTGTGTGTGCTGCAGAATGGGATGACGAGCCAGCTGCATCTGCCACAGCCAAGGCTGATGGCCTCTGCCTCAGAGTTGTCCATTTCTAAGAGCCCTTCTCTGACCAGCCAGGTCCACGCTGCCGCCATCAATGGGGATCGCTCCGCACTGCAAAAGATTGTTGCAGGTAAGGATAAGGATTTGCATTTATAGAGTGCTTAAATACTCTGGCAACTCCAAGCATGTTCCTGATATTAAATCTCATCTTAACCATTTCATTGCCCTGCTGCAGTCTAGTCAAGGGGACATCCAGTGGTAGCTGTCCCTGCGTGACAGTCTAGACATTACCAACTGTCTACAGTAAAAGGGTATTAGTCTTCCAATAGGGGGTGATGTCACGATGTGGTTTTTCCCAATTAAGATCATATGCGAGTAATCGATCAAACATGGACTATGACACCTGCCACGCATGGCCTGCTCTTTTTCAAATTTTGTCACGGGATCTTTAACGTCCACTGTGAAGCAGACGCCGCATATTTGAATCGTTAATACACCCACAGTATTAACCAGGGCAGCCACTGTGCCTGTACCATTAACCTCTGCAACAAGCAGCAAACATGCTGTCACTCAGCCATGTCACCGCCTCAAATCTTCCCCTTGTGCGCCTTATGAAACAAGCCCTATCAAAGTAACGCTATTATTCAGCCCTTTGTAAATCTACAGCTAGGCGAGGCCCTCCCCATGCCATATCAGTCATGAGGGTTGTTTGACCTTGTTCACTATGCTGGTCAGGCAGGTTTTGTAAGGGGGTACACCCTGGACCGGTTCAGATATCACTCACTACTGATGTCAGCTTTTTCTGGGAATTGAACTCAGGTCACTGGGGTTAAAGTGCAGTGCACGAACCACTGCGCCACCACTCCCTCCAAATTACATGTAGATCACCTGAATACGCTCTCTGCAAATAAATAAATAGTCGCATAAAAAGGCGCAATAAGGAATTGACAATACATTGCAAGAAACCCCATCCCGAGAATCGGTGGCAGATTTAATGGGTGAACAAAGAACGATTACGAGCAATTCTGTGAAAATATAGTATATAATATGTGCCCAATTCATTTCAGCGTACGTCCACGCCAGAGACAGAGCTCATGTGCAGGCGCTAGGTGGATTATTACATCGCAGGACCATGAGATGGCAATAGCTTAGGGTGGCCTTCATCTAGTACTGGATTGATCACTGCTAATGATTATTAACTCATTTGAGGTTTATGGACTAGATTATTTTCTTGTAATTGGTCGGTATGTACATTTGCAGGTTCTTCCAATTGGAATAACATGTACGTACAAAGCCACGATCCATCATCTTTGTTAAGCATGGCATTTAACAAGATATCCATTTCAATTTTGAACTGAAATTAATTAACAATCTACGTTCGAGATGTGAAAAAAATTATTATATTCAGATGTGTGCTTATTTTTTTGGCAGCATTAATTTTTGCTTTATTAGTTTCAATCCCTTGATTATATAGTCTTTTACAAATGTGATTTCAAAGAATGCAAATTAAGAGTATCGCTGAATACACTTTTTAATTCTTTGAGGTGAATCGTACATCATGATGTTGAATTGTACAAAGAAGCGATTGGCAAACATGAGCATGTCCTATAACCCAGCTTCAGTGAAAGCTATTGTATGGGACACATTATATGAAACATTTCTTATGTTAAAAACCACAGCCAATAACACATGCGTGTTTGAGTTTGCCTCTTGGGAGTGATGTGTTACGGTATCAGGTTATATTTATGCATAAAGCAAAGCTTGCTTTTTCATAGCATTATGGCATCCAAATGTCTTTCGTTGTATGGTCTTTTTCCATCATAAATGGTGGCTTGTATTCACACAGTAATGTGTGCATTTTTGTCTATAATGGAGATGTAATAAGGGCTCCATAAACCCAGCAATAACTGCAATGAACTTGCGGATAAATGTGAGTTTCTCACAGAAGCGTTTAAGCGTACAGCAGCTTCCTTCTCTTTGAATATTACAGCTGGGAAAGGATTGACCTAATGTTACCAGAGAGGTTAATTATGCTTTTACTGCTGCCGCTTGTAGTCTGGGGAACTGATGAAAAAATTAATGATGGTTTTGCTAATTTGCTAATCAGATCCCTAATCTGAAATTTTTAAGGTTAATTTGACATTAATTAGGAATCAGATGTGATAAAAATGAAAATGCTTCCTCTCTGGCAGGGACTTCCTCTTCCATGTAGCAACGGTCGTCTATCGGTGCATCACAGTGTGTAACAAAAATGTGGTTTATAAAAAAAGTATTGGCTGCGATATCTGCTGCACTTATTGCAAGCACTGCGATTAGCCACTTTTAAGGGATTCCAGTTGACACCATTACGGTTATCATAAAAGAAAAACTGGGCCATTCCTAGTCCGGTTTCAAGGCAAAGGGATTATCAGAGTAACATTTATTATGAGATGCTTAAGTCTTATCACACCTAGGCACTAAAGTAAATGCTCTTAGCCATGACATTTTAGTTTACTGATTTGAATATAATTGCCATCGAATCAACAGGCACCTCAGTCAGAGCGAGATGTGGATTTTAGCTAAAGTCAGCCTTGCCTGTAGACGACGTTTCAGATCTGCCCGTGATGCTAGCTGATGTTCACACTGCCTTGTGTGTATGAGTGTGAGTGTTACTTTTTTAATCGGATATAGACAGGCATACCGAAGCTGTGCTGTGGCAGATAAGATGATTTTCTGCAGGTGCGGTGCTGTGCTTTTTCTGTGCTTTTTGGCTTTCAATGTGGCGGGCAAATTTTATAAGGTATGTGTTTCTGTCTCTGGCTGCATCTTGGTGGGACGTTTTAAGATGCTTTGTTGCTCCCTGCTTTAATAGTCCTACGGAACAGTAAGTATGGTCATGGAGCAGGTCTGGTTGAGGAAAGTGTTTTTCATATGAGATAATAACTATGCCATGCTTGATTATTCTGTAAGCTTGTTTGAAACTTTAAAAATGTAAATATTTGTTAATGTTATGGTATGTTTCGTTGTTGATGATTGTGGAGGTTCAAAATATACATTGATTAGAAAATATGATTCTCATCAGGAAGACAATCTTCTGTTTTCCTTCAGCCTGCCTTCCTTAACACAGGGGGTGCCTAGTCATGTACGTGTGAAGGCATTCCTGCTGAAATTAACTCTTTCATATCCTTTTAGCGATTTCCCCGCTCTGTTTATCAATTCTATTACCACATAGTGCTATTATATTTCCAATGTAACCGTCTAAACTGTTCACAGAAACGGTGTAGTTTGTTTTCCATCATCGAACTTTTATAGGCCAAATTCGACATTCGTAATAATAATATAGAATTTAGGCGCTGATATACATAGAAGCATACATAATCACAGGGTAGTGGGGAATTATGTCCCCTTATTTTCAACCGAAGCTTTTTTGTGATTCAAAAAATGGTAGTGCCATTACAGGCGTTACAGAACTGTAAATACCATAAGGCCAAAAGCTCACCCGACAGTGATCCTATGAGCTCTCTAAACATAAGAGGAGCCACTGCAGGAAGTCCACTATCTTACTTGGCATTCTCTATACAATATTTGAGTGATATGGTGTCATATTGGGAGGGAGGGAAAAAAACACTTTTTTTGATCGAGTACATTACCCGTACATATATATTTATTTTCAGCGATCACGGTGCAGAAATAAAATGCGATTTTATTATTCCCCTCCAAGGGGCGGTCATAAATTTGGGACAGCAATCGTGTGCGAGTGGGAACATAAGTTGCTATGGGACAGTTTATTTTTAATGCTCTTGAGCCACAGGGGGAAAACAATAATGCTATCTCACAGCTGAGTGCGCTGTTTACTGTTGGGTTCCTGGGCTGAACGTGTCAGACAGGCGCAACAGAGAAATGTGTTGGTTATTGCATCCTGCCACCAAGTCCTCGCTTTACAATACATTCTCAAGAACAAGATGTATGTTTGTGGGCCTTAATGTAGTGGCTGCGTCGTGGAATCCGTTAGCAGTTTTCGCTTTGCATTCCCAGTGTAGCTGTGGCCAAGTAAAACGCCTTAAGCCACTTTGGGGCTGCAAAACATGTGACATTTGTATATGTTCCCCTTCATTGTATACGAAGGTAAAATGCTTGCCGTGCAAGTAGCACATGTCTTGTTGTGAACAAACAAAAAAAGTTCAGTACATTTGAACATGTTAAGTATATGACCTCGCTCATTTTCATTACCACGCTTCGATTTTATTTGCTATGTAATTTGTGGTGTCAACCGAAATGTATACTGTAACTCTTCAACATTTAGAAGTTTATTGCCATTGAGCATTTAAGCTAGTGGCGCCCCATAGTGGGAATCTTGTATATGGAGTTTATCCATTGCAGATTAATTCTCTGAAAGCAATAACCATTGATATTGCAGCAGTGACCAGAGTGTAAATATAATAAGTCAGATGCAATTTATTGCGTTAAATATTAATTCGGCCACTGAAGTATGAATTCGCATAAACAGGTCATGATACATTCCATTTATCACCCTAACATGAGTACAACTTATGCTGCTGCTGCTGCTACTGCTGCATTGCTCTTTGCCAGCAAACCCAGAGTTTAGGGACGCTCCGGATCAGTTTGGGCGAACGCCACTCATGTATTGCGTGCTGGCCGACCGGCCAGAGTGTGCCGAGGCCCTTGTCAAGGCTGGGGCCAACGTCAACAAAACGGACAAGAGCAAGCGCACCGCTCTGCACCTCGCTGCACAAAAGGTACCGCGACCCGCTGACTTAGAAAGTTAAAAAGCGGCACAGTTCTCGAGTGCACTGGCTGCGTTTACGTTTGGAGACAGTGTGTTGAAATTGGCTAGTGTCTGACCTGGCATGCGACCCTGAGGAACAGTTGAAAAGCCGCTGCAAAGATGTAAAACGTGGATGAGGAGCACTTGCCAGTGCGATCCTTCGCTGAAAGGCGCAAGGCGTTGACATTTCTCACGTTTCAGTAAGTGGGACGTCGTCTTGACATTGCTACGTCGCGCTCCCCTCCGCGTGACCCTAAGTCAGGCTTTCATAAAGGATCACCGTCACCTTTCACTTGCACGGAGGCTGTCAGGTGAGCAAGGAAGCTCAGGAGTGGAGGAGGAGGCAGCTTGTGGTCTGAAGCGACGTGAGTTATCTGCTCGTGGACCCTCAGTCCCTCCTGGGTTCACAAGACGAATCGCGTGTCGGCGGATCGACGGCAGAACTGGGCTTTCCACGGTAGTTCCATTGCTCTCTTCTTGCCTCGGCAAGACTGGGTATGCTGAACTCTGGTTAAACCCTCGCTCGCTGATGGTTTTTATACCTTGCGGCCAGGGTTACACAGCTATAAATACATCTGAATCTTAAAATAACATGGTTTTAAAAAAAAATCTATACTTAAAAAAAATATTTTTACAAAATCTATTTGTATAAATTGACTGCAATATACTGCTGCCTTTGATTTTTTTTCTCTCTGATTTAAATGGAAACCGTATAAATAACGTTAAGAAAAAAAGGGCAGTTTTAAGCTGGTCAAGGGTGTAATAATTGGCACTTTGATGCCGTTAATGATAATACGTGTTACCCCCTTAGGTGTGAAAAAGAAGGGAAAAAACCCATTATTATACCCAGGAGCGCACGTTGTTTATATCGCTATTACTTGTTGTTGCAGTAAATTGCTTTCCACCACCCCTCTCATTTCCCCCCACCTCACCCCACGCGGCTGGCAAAGGCATCCCGCTCTTGGCAGTTTGTGCCTCTCTTCTTGCCTCGTTAGCCCGCCCATGGTCTCTCCAGCCGACCCGGGCGATCAATCGGCCTGGCATTTTCAGACCTCTTCATCACATGGCCTCGCAGGGGAACAAGGAGGAGCACGAGAGCACACGCTCTCCCTGGCTCTGGTGCTGCCTCCGCCGCGGCACCTCGGTTCGCCGCTGCAAGGCAGTGCGACACTCGTGGCAGGCGAGCCGCTGGGAATCATCAATCTGTCATAATGCTATGATTTGTTCTTCCGTCGAGCGTTTAGTAGCTGCTCCTTATCAAACTGCCCGCCCTCTTGGGCTTCCCAAAACACCGTCTAATTTGAGGGTTTCTGAGGCGGCGCTCCAGCGTTTACAAGATAGTGGGGTGACTGCCCAGACGTGGAATCAATAAACAAGCTCATTTCTATATGTCAAGCACTCAAGTCCTTGTCAGAGGCCCCCTCGTGCTGTAATTGGGGGCCGGGGTGCGAGCTGCTGGAGCCGCTTCCTTTGGCAGCCCTCGAGTGGCTTGTCAGCGAGCACAAGGGGGAACGGGAGAGTGCACATGAGTACTATCACAGCCCGCAATTGATATTGCACTTGTCTTTTGGTTTGTTTGAACTCCGGCCTGCACGCGAGCCCGACGCCTGGGGAAGAGGAAGGAGTTTCTTCACCATGGCTGTTAGACTCAGCTCCTGCTGATTGGATAAACTTGGGATTTGGGGTAGGCTGAGCCACAGAGGCTTTTCTTTATTGGAAATATTGAATTTCTGCACGCGCTGTGACTCCTACTAAAGCGGAGAACTGTTTGTTTGAACTCCAGGCAAGGTAGTTTTCGCACATTTTCTGTTTCTTCGAGTAAAGCGCTTTGAATGTTGTGTGCGTGCCTCTTTAGTCATTAATAATATAATGGTTATTAGGTCTAGGCTGACGGACTCTGTTAATTTTGTTTTGATTGTTGTGCCCACTTGAATGGCTTCACTCTGAACTGATGGTTCAGTTATTTTCGTGTAAATTAAACAAATAAAATATTGTACATTAACTTTTTCAATGGGAAACCCGATTTTTTTTACGTTGCATCTTCGAGCAAATAGATTTTTAAGGGATGTCGTCAACAAGACACCATTTAAACACTAGATATTGGCAATGTATTGCAGTTTCCTCAGAATTGCGTCGACCTACCGTGCCCTGCATATATATTTTTTTTGTTGGGAGAATTCCTGTAATTAGTAGAGAAATACACAGAAGGACAGTCTTACTCCCAAAGATGAAACTTGAATGGGGTGCAGAGCAATTATGAATTATTAGCTATGTTTCAATGCTGGGTACAAACGTCACCTATCAGGGAGCACCAGGTACTGTACAGTACACCACACCCCTCCAGACCAAGTAAGTTTTTAAAATATATTTTGAAGTTACTGTACACATTCATATAATATTTGTGTTTTAATGTACAGTATTACGAACTTTTGAGTCTGCAGAAATAACATTGAAAACTGTAAATGCGCTAAAAGGTGTCTACATGGAAATAAAGTGAGTTTGTATTAAAAAAAAGCTATATTAGGGCACCTCACCCCTGATTTAGCCCAGTATTTTGAGCATTATGCTCGTAACTTTCTAAATAAAAAAAAACTCGGTTAAACGGTAATGTCGTCAATGGGTGCGTTTAACCTCAATATCTAACTTGTAATATTTCTAGGTAATTGCTGGCACTTGAAACACATATTTGTAATATATTCAAAGTCATGCTGCTACAAACACTACCCAATTTACCTTCAATTTATGCATTGTTAGTTTTACATATACTGTGTATAATTTTCATGCTGTTTACCTATCCATCTACCTGTCTGTGCGTGAAAATCTGTGTGAATGGCATCCCCTGCTCAAAAGCCTGAGGGGCTGTCTAATTAAATGCAATTACACGCTAAGCGCATAAAGATTAATTACAGCTAATTAGTAACCTCAACAGAATGACACCTGGCAGATGACTACAAATAAAAACCATTAGGCCAAAGTTAGATGGGAAGCCAAACAAGCCTACACGTGTACTTATAATAAAACACACATCCTGTACCATTATCTAACACATTCAACTAAACACAGCCACTAAGCCACTCTGAAAGGGGCAAACTTATTTCAACCCTTGCATGCCATACGAGGTATGATTTAGACGTCATTCAAACTTTTTTCGGCCGATTTCAATAGATCTTTTTCAACAAACGGTTTTCCATTTTCGCCAGTTCATTTAGCCACGATTGTGTAATGTGGAGGCTACTCGGGGGGGGGGGGGGGGGGGGGGGCATTTTTTATTTGTTGTCAGATATCTTTCTATTGTTCAGGTTACGCATGAGCGTTGTGTGTGGTGGGGTGGTCGCGCCCGCGTCCCTCGTTGCAAGTAGAGTTGTTACAAAGCGTGCCAGTGGTGCAGCCCTGTGGGGGGGGGGGGGGGCCCGGAGTGACTGAAATGGTTAATGGAAAAGTGTGGGCCAAGCCAGCCCCGGTCTTGAGGCTGCTCGAGCACGCGGCGCACACAATCCATTAAAGTCACGTGGCTGGCGGGCAATTACAAACAGCTGACTGGGGAAGCAGCGGGACGAAAAGGGTTTTTCGCGCTTGACCACACATCAAAACAGGAGGAATATGTAAATTTACTGCGGTAATTAGAAACTGTGTTCCCGTGATATCATCCATGAAACAGATTTATTACATCTGTCTTACGCGGCGCGGTAATCGAGTTAGGATGACTCGCGCCGCACGGAAGGCGGAGATGAATGCCGTTCCATTGATCTCCCTGCCGTAAAAAGGCCTGGCTGGGGGAGCGGGAGACGACGGCGGCGGCGACACAAGGAATATAAATACCAATCGCGCTCAGAAATTTCATGCTTGTTTAATTTTACATATGCTGATAAAGTGCAGAGTAGAGAGTACAAAAATGTTTCCTCTGTACTTTTTCAGACCACAGTTAAGTGTTTCCCCCCCGGCCCCCGGCCCTCATCCGACGAGTCTCTGACCCCTGGCACTATACGACTTCCATACACTTGCGTGAGAATGATCTCTCATGTTCAGCACGGAACAAAAAAGCCCCTTTGCCTGAATTGTCTCCTTTACACACAAATAGTCTTACTTCCATAGAACTTACACTGCCAATAATTGCATTGCACTGGAAGTGCTGCAATGATTGGCAATTAACGAATTATTTGTACAGTTTACGTATGCTGTGAACCTTAGCCGTAATGTTTTTGTTTTAATACGTTATTTGCGCCTCACAATTATAATTAGTGTGAACCCAGGATTTGTGATAATTGTTTATTTACATAACTAGTACGCCAACAAAGAAAAGGTAATTCTGAATAGAACACATTGCTGCTGTATCGACTTGAATCCTGATGTAGGTCAGGATAATTAATGCATTGATGTAAACAGAATGGCGTAGACTCCAGGTTGTATTTTTGTAATGCGGGTTCAATGTGAATACAGTCGAGTAAGAGCAATCAAATATTTTTTACTGAATATACAAAGTTAGGTTTCTCAAGAAGACGTTTTAAAAAAATGTTCCGACAGTGTTTATAAAGATATTTGGACATACCGTACTGTATATCACAAGATGAAATCCTCTAAGAATGTTAAATTACATCGTCATTAGTTTAAACAAAATAGTGAATGATATGTTGAATTTAGTCTCACTTTATACTTTCATTAAATAAAAAATGAAAAACCAAACTCGGGAAAATGTGAGATTTTTATATTTGTATACAATTAAAATGTGCTTATAAAAGGGATATATTCTAGAGCTTAATCATGTGTTTATTTCTTGCTTTGTTATTATGTTTGTGTTTCAATTTACAGTTTACATTTGCTCAGCAGCAAAAGTGATTGGCCCCGAATCAGTTTTCACCGACATTTTAGGCCTTTGATCAGAACTTATCTCGCTGTGCACCCTGATCTGCCGAGATCCCTCACTCAATCCTTCTCTCCACACGCCTTCTATTATATCTAAGCACTGCCGTTACCCACGTGCAAGCTCTCTCTCACATAAACTCTGCCTTACAGAACTTTCACATTGGTGACATCCCAACTGTAACAAACTTAAAATAATGGTCATGCACAATACAAGGTAATTTCACGCACTGACCGACCATACACCCTCTACCGTTGCTGTCCTCCCATGAAGCCAGATGAAGCTGTTTCCAGCCTGTGCTGGTGCTTTATTGTATTCCAACTCTAGGCCTTTTCCATCCCCCACACAATATTACAACCCACAACCCACCTTTGTGTCAATTAAATCCATTTCAACTTGTTCCACCAGCCTAACAGCTTGGGATTCTCAGGATTCAGTGGATTACCCCCTGTTGTCAGAAAGATCAGCCTTCCCAACACAAGAACAATGCAACTGAACCCTTGTCCTTTACTGAAGCATGCACTATTCCACTTCGGAATTATAACTGTGCACACTGAAATAAATTGCAATGTTATAATGCTGACAGTGACGTTAAACTTGGTGAACAATAGCATGCCACACTATACCGGAGGACACTTATTAGTTCTCCTCTTGTCCCGATAACTGAGATGCACATCTTTTTGCCCTTAACCCATATCCACCTTGCAGTGCTTTTTGCCTCCACACACACACACAATTAGATTGTGTTTAATAGACATTTAAATCAATGTTGCAATCTTTTCTACTATTCCTCTTTGTTGTGGCATTAAAGGTGGTTTAAATGTGAATTTTCTGATTATTTCACTAGTGCCCATATCGTCTTTACAATTTACAGTCCTATGGTAATCCACTGGGTAAAGGCCGTGGAATGCCATGTACAGCATACATGTTAAATACATTGTACTGCAACATACTGTTGGAAGCTTAAACCTAATAGCGTATATAATAATTCTCCCAATGTGTCTCAAAGCATATGGAGATGTAATGGTGTCTTTTTAGTTTCTAATTACTGTAATGCAACATTCATTAGCCAAGCTGTTCTGAGGAATTAAACTGAGACTTTAACCATTTGGTTCAGCACCACGGCCAGATCCGTGGCACTTCGTGGTGGAGGAAAGCAGTGTTGAGCAATAACCCCCGTCACATCCCAGCCTCCGTTGTCTAGATTGATAGCAGCCGTAGCGCCGCTCTCCATTAAGCGCAGCACCGGTGGAGATATTGTTAATAAAGTTATTTAAGACACACTCGAATGGTTTGGCCGTTATGCCAAATGAAGTGCGGCTGGGCTGAATTTACTTTACTAGAGCGGCGTGAAATTAACAGCACTTCAGGCTTTTGACCTTCGCCCCCCCCCTCCCGCCCAGATGAGAGAGGGAAATTTCCAGGCTCTTGCACACAGAGGCATGGCTGGCGGAGCTGGAGCGTGTGTGTTGCAGGAAAGCAGCTACATTGTCGCTACACAATCATGTTTTGGTTATTTTGAGCCTTGTAAAAATGTATAATTACACCTTGTAAAATTGCAAGCAAACCCGTAGTTAATAAAAAAAACATTTTCATGGATAAGCCATTGCTTATGTTCAGACAATCTCTCATGTTTGCAAAATGTGAATGTTATCCTTTTGCGTTTAGGCAGAACGAAATATTTATCATTTTATGGCCATTGTAAGTCGGTTGAGGATTGTAATTTGTAATGACAGCTTTTTGATGATATTTTTATTGCTAATACTTTTTTTTACACACGGCACATAAATTAGTTAAGCTGCAGCAAGATAACAGTATTCTTAATTTAAATTAGAAATACCTTTTTTTCACGCTGTAAATGGTTTGCTGTAATGTAAAAGATAATTAATTTCCAAATTACACAGACATTTTAAAATAAATATTTTAGGAATACATCAAAAGTATTCAAAGGAAAAAAAACATCCACTGTTACAGTTTTTTTTTTTCAGAATAAGCTGATCATTGTACCAGTAATATGTTTTAGTCTGCGATGCGTAATACATATGCCTGCTTGCCAGGGCGAGTTACCATGAAATAAGACAATCCGCGTTGGGACGTGTGTCTCTGGCTTCACTGAGCGTGCGCTTGCTTAGTTGGGAGCCCTCATTCCTCCCTGCGCCAACCTTAAACCATCACTCCACGTACACGTGGGAGGGCTAGCGTGCGCGCAAGTGCACGCGCGCGCTTGGTGCATGGACACCCACGCGAAACCTCAGACGGTCGAGCGAGGCGCACGCGAAGCGTACACATGCGTACGTTTCGCGACGCCCTCCTGTCTGGCTGTCTAGCAAGATGTGCACATGCTGGCAGATGGTGCTGACCTGTGGCGGTTGCTTGCATGGGGTGCAGAGTTGGCAGCGGTCCATCCGTGTCAGACAAAAACCGCTGCATGCAAATTATGCAGCCTGTGGGCCTTTAAGGAAAGAGCAGCTGCTTCTTAGTTTAGCATTGTGCATCGGGCAGCTATATATATACACCAACAAATACTGCATATGGCTTTTATTAAGAGTTAAAAATAGTCTTAATGCTCCAAATAAGGGGGAGAAGAAAAAACAAAGCGCCTCACATTTTTAGATGCAATGCTTTATCGTGACAATGTCTATGGGGTGAAATGTTTAGCCCGATTATACTGTATATGTACCATCACGATGTCTCCGTTTTGGTTGTTGCATAACGTCCCTCTTGTAACTGCCCTTCTGCCATGAGTTTTCTTCGATGGTTCTTGTCTGAGGAGTCCTAGTAGAATGATATATTACTTCTGCATGGCAATGGATACGATGTAACTAACATAGGGAGGATTCAGTTCTGCAATATTTTCTAACACCTGATAGCTATTATCAAATATTGCTCTTTATGACTTGTCCGCTTCAGTGTTTTATCGGCAGTCAGAATAAATATTGTGGTGAATGCCCCACTGTAAGCATACATACATTATACAAACTACAACACAAACATGTAGCCATAACCATGAAAGTGTCATGAAACTCGAGTTTATATCTATCTTTAGCATTTATTTTTCAAGAGGCAAAAGCTCCAAAAGCAAGTCTGTTGACATGTCCAGTTTCTGCTGATTTGATTTCTACTGCTGCTGCAAGGTCTTGACAGTGGTTAAGAAGCACATCACAGCCACGTTTCATCTTTGCCCAGCTCTGGTGGTGAAGGGAATTGTAGTGGGACCTAGCAACTAGGGGGCACAGATTTACTGCAACGGGGGAGCTGGGATCCAGGCTCCTGCTGGTTTGATTTGGACGTTGATGGTGAACGGCAGTCTGTCAGCTAAAAAAAGGCAGGGGGCTGGCTGAAAAGGGCACACTACTAAGCCTTTTGCTTTCTATTTATATGAAACTAAAACCAACCATTTTTGTTGCTTACTGAAACCTTCCTTTGAACTTATTTTTTTTTACATTACTTTGATGGAAATTCTTAAATAAAAACATTACCTATGACTTAGTGTTTTTATTGATCTGAAAAAATGCAGCTAAAGAAAACATGGAGATTGGTAATGCATTTAGTTGCCATTTGAAGTATCTTTATTCATGCTTTCGTGAACACCGCAAGCGTTTTTTTGTCCCTGTTTGCCTGCGCCTTGACTCACTCAGGGGAACTACCGGATCCTGAAGCTGCTACTAAGCCGCCGAGCTAGTCTGCTACAAAAGGACCTGGAGGGCATGACCGGCCTCCACCTGGCAACACGGCACGAGACCCCCAGGTGCCTTGCTCTCCTCCTCAAGCACATAGAGCCTGGTGAGGTGGATGTGCAGGACAACCAGAAGGTAATCTTCCGTGGACTCATGTCAGCCCTTCACCTGTGATGCTTCCCCTATTTGGTGACATCTGTAGCCACACCTGATCTTCCACAGGCATGTCTAGGTCAAACAAATCAAGATTCAAATCAAGAATGTCTAGGTCAAGTCGAATTCAGAGCATTTCCATTCCGAAAATGAATATTGGTGGCCCTGAACCAGTTATGCACATTCCACCTTCATATGGCGGTGGCTAGTGTCTCGACTTAACAGCTGCGCTCAATGTCACGCAAAGGGGCACTCACTTTATTGACCCTGAAGGGTTGTTGGCCTGAGTTGTCTGCCAAGCACAAATGACTTCGTGTAACAGAAATAAAATCACTGCAAATGGTAGCCATACATCATTGGAATAACGAGTATTTAGAAGCAATGCTCATTTTTTAATACAGAGACTATTTGTCTTAAAGCTAAGTAGAATTGTAGAAAATTATTTGTTTACGGTCAGCGCTTTCTATGTTTTGATTTAGTCACACAGCCTTTCCCTAAAAGTAAATTGTATAACTGCATCCTCCAAATATTTAATGGTGATTATTTTCTTTACGCAAAGGTATATTTAAATATGCCGCTATTTTATTTCACGCAGGTTTACGCCATTCCTTTCGCCATTAAGGCGTTTTTAATTTGTCAGCGGCAAAAAAAACAAGTTTTTATTGTTTTCAAGATTCACGGGCATAATTACGGCACGTCGCGCACAGGCAATGGCTGCGCGTGTACACGCGTGCACACGCGTGTACACGCGCACGGTGCGGTGGGGAGGGGGGCTCGATTCTGGCCCTGCGCGCAGGTGTGGAGCACAGAGCGCCTCCGCCTCCCTCGGACCGCGTGGCTGGGCACGGCCGGGCGCGCCTCGGCGCGGTCGGCGGGCCCTGGCGAGCCATCCGAGTGAATAATTGCCAGCGCTGTAACGCGCCTCTAATTTCACAGATACGGCCGCAGGGACGTCTCGGGCAGTGCGCCGCGACTGCACAACGTGTAATTAATAACTGCTTCTGTTGCGTGCTGCGGCAAACCTATTCCGAGTTAAGCAGATAATGGCCCGAACGCGGTGAAATGTCCGTAGATACAAACGTGTAATTACCGCCGACATATAATGAGCTTTTCAATATTTACTTTCCCACTGAAAGGAATAGCAATCATCTGGAGCAGAGTTGCAGCTGCTGAATTGCTTAGCGTGATTTGCGTTGTTCTTTTAGTTTTCAGTGGATGATTTTTAAATATGCAGCTCCTTCTTTCAAATGATGTCAATGTATTAAATGCTGTATTTGTGGGGTTTGCATCACGTTATTTTTTTCAAAATGTTTTCTTTGAAACTGTATGTCATTGTACGTTTGTAAAATTTCTTGTACCTTCTGCACATATAACATGTGTTAAATAAGTGGAAAGAAAATATGCATTCCAAAAAAAGAAACAATCAATTTTTTTAACAACCAGATCTTCTTGAATATATGTTTATAAACATACGTAAATAATCTATATTGCATCCACTAATATTGAACTTTCCTGCTCTCTTATTTATAACATACTACATCTATATTAGTGTAGTTTTTTTGCAAGACTACTTCAGGACAGATATTTCAATTCTAGTGGTTTTATTTCAAATATGACTTGTGACAATGGACCTAATTTGTGCCCTCGTTCTTTCTTAACTAAGGAGGTGAGCATGTTAAGCACAGTGGTTTCCATAAACCGCCAGTCTGCACCCCAAGGTCATGTTATGGGTATGTTGACATGCCCATGGGATTGTCCTCCCACTCACTGCCCTTGCCCTCCCCCATTTTTATTAGGGTTGAACTCTAAATATCCTTTGTGCGAGACCCACGGGACACATTCAGGAACGATGACCCTACTTGGGGTGCCCACAATTTGCAGACCAAGGTCTATTTAGACCGTAGAAAAATAATTGAGATATTGGTTACAGCAGTGATAAAGCGGGGCCTGTTGGCAGATTTTGAACAAGCCCCTTGTCTAAAAGGCATCAGCATTCATTATCAGGCAGTAAATTACAGGTCTGGGCTCCACAAAGGTGTGACAAGAGCAATACTAAGTCAAACATTTTACCCCTAGTACCCACAGAGGGCAGATTAGGAACCTTGACCTCCTCCTAATAGCAGAGGCAGCTGTAATCCTGTAGTCCAACCACATCAACCCCTGCCCTCGCCAGGCTCCCTGTTGACGGCCACCCCTGGGTGTTGTTGGGAGCTGATTCTCGATGGTAATCTATGCTCTAAAACGCCTCTGGTATAGGGGCATTATAACACTGGCTGTGACCAGAAGGATCCTCAATAAACAGAAGGGATTTTTTTTACACAGTGCCATAACTGCTAGAAATTGTTATTATTATTTGTATTCAATGCAGCTAACTATTAACAATACTAAAAGAGGAATTATTATAATTCTTAAAATGAACTAAATGTAACCATTTTAAACATACCACTCTTGTAGATAGTTGTATCAACGTATTAATATGCAATTAATTTTTTTTTTGCCACGGGAAGATTTAAGAGTAATTTTCATGGAACTGTATCTGGCAGAATTAAGAAAAAAAATTGCTTGCCAAAATGTCATAATGGTTATTTATTTACTTAATTCTAGATGTGGAATACGTGCCAGTTAATCCGCAAATAGCATTAGCGTTATTACAAAAACAACGGTCAAATTTCTTTACAAAGGGGTAATTTACGTGTGTTAGGCCAACATGTGAGCCAAATTAGTTATCAAGTATAATTTGTATTCTCCAAAAGGCTTCATTCATGTTGACAACGACCTCAACTTAACCTCAACTGAATTGATATCTTCCTGACTAAATTATGAGCATGAATTTTATGCTTATGAGCTATCTCAAATTGACATTTACAACTCAATCCACTGCTGGGTGAGGGCATTCCCAATGCCATGCTGCATGTCGTTGGGAATTATTTGACCACACAGTACTCCTGGAATGCATACCTGTATTGGTGCGGATAAATAGTTTGGCTTCAGATATGTCGTGCATATTGTAGTAACAATAAAAAAGCTGTTATCACCTATTATTGAATTTGGACTTCATACAACACAGAATCATTTTACTTTGGAAATTACATTGTAGCTCACAATTAACTCACATTTGAGAAGTATATGGTAAGATCTATTGGAAAACTGCTACTTGCGAAAATAATTCTTCCCATGAGAATGATGCCTCTGAAATCTGATCATTAAGGGTCATTCCCTTTGCTTATGTTTTCTTAACAACAGATACTTGTCATGATACCTCAAGTATAAAATGTTTGCGTTTCTGGGTCATATTTGATGTTTCACCTGGTGCACCGTCATTCCCCAGAAAACCTCTCCTCCTTGAATCCCCTCTGACAAACAATTCCCCTCCTTTGCGTGGACGTCCTATGCAAATACAGACACTGGCTCCCAAGCATCTGGTCATGGAATTTCCACCACTGGCTCAGTGACACTAACCGGGATGAGCCCTGCCCTCATTTTCTTATTTGAGCAGGCGGTACACAGACTTGACTTGACCTTTCCATGCTGGATCGGTGCCAGTTTGTATTGGTGTGCCAACCAATGTGTGCCCACAGAGAACGGCACTGCACTGGAGTGCCTACTACAATCACCCGGAGCATGTGCGGATGCTCATCAAGCACGACTCCAATATTGGTGTGCCGGACAGTGAGGGCAAGATACCGCTGCACTGGGCGGCCAACAACAAGGATCCCTCGGCCGTCCACACTGTTCGTTGCCTGCTGGTGGGTGCCACGGAGGTGGAGATCATTGGAAGCAAGCACAGCTTGGAATGTTGATCAGTTATTGATGTGAAATATTAATTGTGAAAATTGTATCAAATATAATATAGCATAAATTTGGTTATGTTTGTGTTGCCATTCGAATATTTCTCATTATAAGGAAATGACACCCGCCTTTCAGGCAGTGTTCTTTATCTTTATCATATAAAGCTTGGAAAAAGTAGCATAGAATTAATACATCTGGTGTGATAATGTGACAATTATAATGTTTCCTTGTTCGCAACAATGTTCAACAAATTTCAGTTTTATTATTGCTAAATTACAATGGACGCTGCCATAGTGTGATGATTCATACACATGTAGTGTACTAATTCAGAGACACTAGTAGGAGGTGTTATCCCTCTTGTTTATTCCGGATCTCACAGCGATAGGGGATAACTCCATACCAGGTCGGGACGGCCAACATGCTTCCAGACCCACAGCTTGAAGAGGCGAAGACCACGATGACAGCAGCACGACGAGTTCCATTCCCGATGGCAGCCACCCTGACTGTTAGTCGGAGCTCGCCTTTTATTCTCCCCAGCGTGACCAGGCTCCGCCCTCGGCCACGCACCCTTCTGGATCCTCCAGATGGCTCCGGGCTTGGCCCATGGATCCAACTGGTAGAACGGACTGCTACCCCTAATTCCATTGTCACTGTAGCCACGCGCTACAGTGACTAATTCAATATCACTACATCACCCCCCACCCCCCCCCCGCTTGAAGAAAAACAGCCATCCTGGCTGACCTTTATACGTCGTGTAGCGGGATGACGAACACAACAATATCCACACAATATTTGCAATGCATGGCAACAATCCAGCCCCCAAAATAACAGCAACCGAACGACGGGTAGGGGCGGTCATCTGAACCGAACCGTTGCCGGCCCCTCATTTGGGCCTGGCACGGGTCCTCCAGGGACCCCAGGGGTAACCCAAGGATGGCTCAATGGGCACGGGCCCTCCCGGGATGAAGATGGAGGAAAAGTAGATGCGGGTGGCGGTCATCCCGTCCGCCCCAATCCGCCTGTGGGTGGCGCCGCTGGTGGTTCTACGGGCGTCAGACCCTGGGATCCTGCAGATGGAGGAACAGAGCCTCGCTGAGGCGCATCATCCGTAACCGTACGTCCGGCTCCGTCGGGCATATCAAACACCCAGCCATCAGATGGTGGAGATGAAACGCCCTCATAAGGTGGAAAATAGGGCTTCAGTCGGGACAGGTCCACATACCAAAGCCTGCGACCAACCTGGATCTGCACACACTGTGGCCTCCTCACCTCAATCACCTCCACCGGGCCTTGCCATGGCCTATGTAATTTAGGAGATGTGCCTAGAGGCACCTGGGGGCAATGCAGCCATGCCCTCTCCCCAAGCTTCCACGGGTTTCCGGACTCCTTAAGCCCAGCCAGTTTTTCATTCGAAGCCCTCCGCTTGGCCGAATTAGGATGCCTCCCGTGCTTCCGTTAACCACTTAAGGGTGAGGCTCATAAGTCCCGGCACAGTGGCTCTCTTCTTGCTCGGCTCAATATTTAACTGGGCTTCCATGGGGCGGTCACATGCTCTCCCGTACATTAAAAAAATGGGGAGAACCCGGTAGAGGCATGAGGGGCCATCCTATAGGCCGCAACATGGACGTAAGAGTCCTCAGTAAGAGTCCTCAGTAAATGCTCTACCATTCCGTCGGAAGGTAGGGTGAATTTTCTTTGTACCCAACAAGTCACATATCTCTTGCAACAATTTTGAAGAAAAATGTCGACCTTGGTCCGTAAGGAGACATTCCGGGCCCCCTTTATCCAACATGTAACCATGCAGGAATGCGTCCATAAAGGACGCCGCCGACTGATCTGGCAGGGGGCATGCCACCGACCACCGCGACAGGTACTTGACCTCTACCAGCAAAAATTTATTTCCCCTCGGAGTGGTGGGAAATGGCCCGAGGAAGTCGAGGGCAATGAGCTCATTTAGACGGGACACCCCGATAGATTGCAACGGTGGTCGGGCCAGCCTCGGCGGGGGCTTCCGGCGAGCACATTCCACACAACCTTTCAGCACGTTGTGGACGTCTTCTGACATCCCAGACCAAAAGAAGTCACGCTTCAACATCGATAATGTTTTCTGCGCCCGTAGGTGCATCAGCCGCACATGGGCAGCTCTCGATGCCCTACCCCGCAGAGCAGTTGGCACAACGATACAGTACCACTGTACCTCCGTATCCCAGCGCATTAGTAGCCCATCTCGGAGGACCACGGGGGACATACTCCCTGGACCCTTCCTATCACCTGGCGCACCAACGTGGCACCGTATTTTCAGTAAGGAGGCGTCCTCCGCCTGGGGGCGCCCCCATTCCTCCGCCTGGGGGCGCCCCCATTCCTCGTGCGCAGGACCAATGGTGTTATCGCGTGCCACCTTTGCTACTGCCGGCGAAACATCCACCGGTGCTACAATGGCGCCCGGCTTCCCCGCATCTACCTGCTTACAACGGCCGGCGCCCATAAAGCATGCGCACTGGCTTTTCGGCAATAACCGTGACAGAGTGTCCGCATTGCAGTGACGCAACCTTTACCTATAGGTGACTTCGAACGAATAATCTTGCAAAATTTCCAACCATCACGATAGTTGCGCGGATGGGTCAACACGCACTGCTATACAAAGTGCACGATAGCCAACAACTCGCGGCGCGTGCCTCAATAGCGCTGCTCTGCGGGGGACAGCACTCGGCTACCGTAAGCGACCACGCTCTCCACCCCGTTTTCCACCTGCGACAATACGGCGCTGATCCCGGTATCGCTGGCGTCCGTATCCAACACAAACGGCAAGGTGAAATCGGGGTACCGAAGGGGGGTGTGTTCACGAGGCCGTTGCACAGCGTAACAAATGCGGCCTCCTCCCCCACCGAAACCTCTGGCTCTTTGCCGTGAGAGCGTGGAGCAGCTTTGCCATCGTTGCAAACCCGGGCATGAAGCGGCGGTAATTCGACACAAACCTCACCCACCTACGTGGGGGTCGGCCACGCACGCACACAGTCTTTGCAGGGTCTGTGGCGATCCCGGACTCGCTAACAACGTGACCCATGTAGCGAACCGACTTTTGCAAGAAGTAACATTTCTGCGGCTTGAATTTCAAATTTACCGCCCGCATTTTAACAAATATCACATGCAACCGCTGCAGATGTTCCTGGAACGTGCGACCAAAGACAATCACGTCATCCAAATGGATCAGACATGTCTTCCATTGGAGCCCGGACAGTACCAACTCCATAAGTCGCTGGAACGTGGCCGGAGCTGAGTGAATCCCCATCGGGAGCACGTTAAATTGAAACAGCCCTTGCGGTGTCTGGAATGCGGTTTTAGGTTTTGAACTTTCATCCAGGGGCAACTGTCAAAACCCCGACAATAGATCCAGGGTGGAGAAAAACCGTGCCCCCCAACAGGGCATCCAACGAATTGTCCATCCATGGGAGCGGATACGCGTCCGACTTTATTTAATTTCCGAAAATCCACACAAAACCGCAAACTCCCGTCCTTTTTACCAGGACAATGGGAGCACCCCACGGACTGGTGGACGGGAAGATCATATCGGCGACCAACATCTCATATTCTTAGTTTTTTCGGTAAAGTCACGTTGAAGAGAAACAACAAAATAACAAAATATATATAAAACAATAAAAAATTCTCACGACGTTTCGACCATAACTCAAACGGTCATCATCAGGTGTTTTATATATATTTTGTTATTTTGTTGTTTCTCTTCAACGTGACTTTACCGAAAAAACTAAGAATATGAATTACTGCAGTCACGAAAGCTTTAAATCAAGACCAACATCTCGTCGACCGCCTAACGAACGTATTCCTCCTTCGGACTAAACAGAAATGAGTTCTGACGAATAGGAGCGGCACCACCAGTATCAGTATGGTGACGCATCAGGGACGTGCGGCCCACATCGAATTTACCCTTACTAAATACATTGGAGAATTCCCAAAGCAATGCCTGCAACTCGCCCCTCTGCTCCCACGACAAATCCGGATTACCCGCACACAACGGATCCATCCATGAGTCATCCGACACCGCTCTCCATGCAACCATGGCCACGACCCGAGTGGTTATATCATCCATTTCTCCACAACACGCCACCGTCGCCTGGGCCAACACCGTACCCGCCTGTATGATCGCCGTACCCAGCCCAGCATTTAATACTTCCAGGAAGGGCTACTGATCCCCCCTCATTATCGTTTGGGCCCCTATCAAAGTGAGACCACGAACCACTCTATTAGAAGGGGTTTAAAGAACCCCACCCCCAGTGATTCCTGGTGGAGCCGCTTCCGCAGCCTCAAGAGTACGAGCATCTGTGCACCCGGGGGAACCCTAACAGTTTCACGCACCAGGGCCCGAACCACCATACACAACCCAGTCAGGGACTCCAAAAATCTCAACCAAAGCACCGACGGTAACTCAACACAACCCTGGTCAATCAAAATCCGGAGGGGCATTCTCTTAAAAAAATCGGTCCCCAATAAACACGGCACCGCCAATGAACTTGAAACGAACACTGGGCCCGTGCATTCAATATCTCCAATTCGTATGGACGCCACAATTTGGCCCACAATACCTAAGCTCCCGCCATTAGCGGCAACGCAGGGACTACCCAAAGGACCAAGGCAACCCACCGTCGATGGCAACGTCCTCTAAACAAACTCCGAAAGAATGGTGGCGGATGCTCCCATATCTATGAGCACCCGCGCCTCAGCACCCTGTACATATCCACTGACTGGATGATCCTGCTCCCGCCACCATAACACGGTGTGCCAATTCGGTCCATTGCCCGGACCCCCGTGGGCAACAATCACGCATTGAAGTACTATCTTTGCACCCCGTATCTCTTTGGGGGCGATGGCGTGTGCACCCGACACTGACTGCAATGTAGATGCATGAGGTGGCTGTGTTGGCCGGGTGAGTGATGTATTGCGACCTGCCTTTGGGTCCAGAGGAGCGGAGGCTGGCAGGGTGGAGGACAGCGAAGCCGGGAAAAACTGCCCTAAATCAGCACGGCAGCTCCTGGAGTTGTGCCCCGGTAGGCCACATCTGAAACAGGTAACGGGGCCCCGCCATGGCGGAGGGAAGGCCCCCCCCCCCCGCTGGTCCCGTCGTCGTCCCACGCCGAATCTCCCGTGCGGGCTCCAACTCCCCGATGCGCAGACCCGAGAAGACTCTCGGTGCTCCTGGTCGCCCTCTTCTCCCGGGAATCCAGCCCGGGCCGCCACCCCGGCACGCCGTCGCAGGTTACAATGGGCCTGGATGCATCGGGCTACCTGAATCGAGGACAGGTCGTCTTCCTCCATGGCCGGCAAAAAAAACGCTAATTTCCTGAGCCAGCGCCAACAACTTCTCCAGCACCAGAGAATCTAGTCCCACCTGCTCCATCTTTGGGTACGCAGCCTGGGCCAGCGACAATTGTACATTTCGGAAGGCAAGGGGCGTCTCGGTCTCCCCCCAACTCCGCATCACGAATTTCCACCGCGCGTTGGATGGCTGGTCAAAAATCACCGCCAACTGTGCGAATTCTTGCCACAGTGTCGCCCTGTCCTCCTAGGGAATGGCAAAAAACGCCGCCAAGGCATCATCGTCTAGCATGGTGGGAAGAACACGGGGTGCCTGTGCGTCGGACCACCCTCTGAGCTCGCAAGTGGCGGCGAAATGCCGCCGCAAGGCCGCCCAATCACTCCCCGCAGCTGAAAATTCCTTCATAAACGGCAGCTGCTGCACGAGGGAAGGCGCCCCGAATGATGAGCTATCGGCGGCAGGTTAAATTTGGCAGGACTCGATTCCTGCCCTTGGTCGACAGTGACGGCGGAGTCGCCCGTTCGCTGCCCCCGAGTCGCAGCCCCCTCCACCGGCTCTTCCTTACCCAGCTGCCCCACCAGCGCCGTCACCGCGGAGAGCAGCTTCACGATGCGCGCGCTGAGTGCCCGCAGCCCTTCTCCAGACGGCGGCGGCGCGGAATCGTCGCCCTTCGCCCACTGCCCCGCCGGGACCGCCTCTCCAGGACCCCCCACTGGGGTCCTGGCAGCCTGGGAACCCTCCTCGCCGTCGTCCTCTTTGCTCGAGGATGTGCTGATGAAAGCAATCCTCTTCGTGGCTGTCAACATAGCCTATTTCCCCCCACCGGGATTCGAAGGGAAAGGGAAAAAAAAAGAATTCCTAACAACCGGTACAATAAAAAAAAATGTGTTAACACTTCTGACACCAAACGTAGTGTACTAATTCAGAGACACAAGTAGGAGGCATTAGCCATAGGGGATAACTCCATACCGGGTCGGGACAGCCAATATGCTTCCAGACCCACAGCTTGAAGAGGCGAAGACCATGACAACAGCAGCATGACGAGTTCCATTCCCGATGGCAGCCACCCCGACTTTGAGTCTGACCTCGCCTTTTATTCTCCCCAGCGTGTCCAGGCTCCGTCCTCAGCCGCGTACCCTTCTGGATCCCCCAGAAGGCTCCGGGCTTGGCCCACGGGTCCCAACTGGTAGAACGGGCTGCTACCCCTAATTCCATTGTCTACCAATCTCCCAGCGCCATGCTTTACAGTGACTAATTCAATGTCACTACACACAGGACTTGCAATACAGAGGTCACGGGTTCAAACTCTTAGTCTGACATTTAACACAAATGGGAAACTTTCTTAAAACTCCCGCGCCCCCCCCCCCCTCTGTCCACATAGCAGGATGAATGGGTACACCACAATGGATCAGCAGGTCGTGTGTGGTGTGGTAGAGTATGGTGTGGTAAAGTGTGGTGTGGTAAAGTGTGGGTACTCGCACCTTTTCCAAGGCCAGTGTAGAACAGTCGGCCAAAATAACCACTGTACAGTGAGGGAAAAAATTATTTGATCCCCTGCTGATTTTGTACGTTTGCCCACTGACAAAGAAATGATCAGTCTATAATTTTAATGGTAGGTTTATTTGAACAGTGAGAGACAGAATAACAAAAAAATGCGGAAAAACGCATGTCAAAAATGTTATGAATTGATTTGCATTTTAATGAGGGAAATAAGTATTTGACCCCCTCTCAATCAGAAAGATTTCTGGCTCCCAGGTGTCTTTTATACAGGTAACGAACTGAGATTAGGAGCACGCTCTTAAAGGGAGTGCTCCTAATCTCAGCTTGTTACCTGTATAAAAGACACCTGTCCACAGAAGCAATCAATCAATCAGATTCCAAACTCTCCACCATGGCCAAGACCAAAGGGTTCTCCAAGGATGTCAGGGACAAGATTGTAGACCTACACAAGGCTGGAACGGACTACAAGGCCATTGCCAAGCAGCTTGGTGAGAAGGTGACAACAGTTGGTGCGATTATTCGCAAATGTAAGAAACACAAAAGAACTGTCAATCTCCCTTGGCCTGGGGCTCCATGCAAGATCTCACCTCGTGGAGTTGCAATGATCATGAGAACAGTGAGGAATCAGCCCAGAACTACACGGGAGGATCTTGTCAATGATCTCAAGGCAGCTTGGACCATAGTCACCAAGAAAACAATTGGTAACACACTACGCCGTGAAGGACTGAAATCCTGCAGCGCCCGCAAGGTCCCCCTGCTCAAGAAAGCACACATACATGCCCGTCTGAAGTTTGCCAATGAACATCTGAATGATTCAGAGGACAACTGGGTGAAAGTGTTGTGGTCAGATGAGACCAAAATGGAGCTCTTTGGCATCAACTCAACTCGCCGTGTTTGGAGGAGGAGGAATGCTGCCTATGACCCCAAGAACACCATCCCCACCGTCAAACATGGAGGTGGAAACATGCTTTGGGGGTGTTTTTCTGCTAAGGGGACAGGACAACTTCACCGCATCAAAGGGACGATGGACGGGGCCATGTACCGTCAAATCTTGGGTGAGAACCTCCTTCCCTCAGCCAGGGCATTGAAAATGGGTCGTGGATGGGTATTCCAGCATGACAATGACCCAAAACACACGGCCAAGGCAACAAAGGAGTGGCTCAAGAAGAAGCACATTAAGGTCCTGGAGTGGCCTAGCCAATCTCCAGACCTTAATCCCATAGAAAATTTGTGGAGGGAGCTGAAGGTTCAAGTTGCCAAACATCAGCCTCGAAACCTTAATGACTTGGAGAAGATCTGCAAAGAGGAGTGAGATGTGTGCAAACCTGGTGGCTAACTACAAGAAACGTCTGACCTCTGTGATTGGCAACAAGGGTTTTGCCACCAAGTACTAAGTCATATTTTGCAGAGGGGTCAAATACTTATTTCCCTCATTAAAATGCAAATCAATTTATAACATTTTTGACATGCGTTTTTCTGGATTTGTTGTTATTCTGTCTCTCACTGTTCAAATTAACCTACCATTAAAATTATAAACTGATCATTTCTTTGTCAGTGGGCAAACGTACAAATCCAGCAGGGGATCAAATACTTTTTTCCCTCACTGTATAGGGGCTCACTAGAACTCCTTCTAGTGGAGGCTCTTCTGGCAGCAGTGGTGTGAGAAAAAAAATTGCAAGGCTGCACCTTTACCTTTGTGCGGCGATATCTAAAACAAACCACTATTCAAAGCATTGTTTTGTGCGTGTCTCTGCAATAGTTGTTGTGTTTAGTTCCGTAATTTTTCCCAGGAAGCCACCCCGACCGATTCCATCCTCAACTGGCAGGACTACGAGGGACGCACGCCCCTTCACTTCGCCGTGGCTGATGGCAACGAGGCAGTGGTGGACATCCTGACGTCGCCGCAAGTGTGCAACGTCACGGCCTACGACAACCTCTTCCGCACCTCGCTGCACTGGGCCGCGCTGCTCGGTAGCTCAGCTCACCCGGGCATCCCTCTCCCCACACCCCCCCCACACACCAAGCCTCCCCATGTGTTCCCCAGGGAATTCCCCATGGCTTTGCAGCCAAGACTGTCATTGTCTCTAGGTGGATGTGTGGCTCTAAAGACTGGCCGAATAGAGTACAGTACTATAGTTGGTTTGTGTGTCTAAGTTACGTCACGCATAAAGTGGTATATGCTTATTGTTGTGACTATTGTAGATTGTTACTGTGTGTATATGTGTGTATTTTTTGTATGTGCATGTGATTGTTTTATGTTTGCTGTATGTGTAGCTCTGTAATGTGTTTTTTAGGCTGTACCGATGTGTTTTATTCAGAATTCAGTTCAGAATTCAGTTCCTGAAGAAGCTTCCAACACGTGGAGCAAAGCGTCCGACGCCATACTGAACAACACGTGGAACAGCCCAAAAACGCATCCAAGAGCTATACAGCACAACCACATACACCTATGCAGTAATATGCTGTACATGAGTTTGTCGATATGCTGCTGTGTATGTGTATCCGTACTTATATAATTTAACTTAAACATGGAAGCATATGCACGCTAGTTGTTGCCTATCATATGATGGATGTTAACTGAACATGTTTTGCAAACATTGAAGGTTTTTTGCTGAAGTGTAAATCACATCCGCAAAAAAACACAACATGGCAAGCATACACACATATCTGAAAACCTACTTGAAAATAGTGAGATTTAAAACAGTTGGGAATTTTTTCCCAGTGTATTTTTCTGGAGAGTTATATTTGACCATTTGTTGGAATACATTTCACCAATGCGGTCATTTAAAATCTGTTTCAGTGCCTTCAAATTTAAAGACGAATATAAGTGCATCGGTAGTTTCTGACAAACCATGCTGTGTACATGATTGTTTTTTTTAAACGAAGAGAATGAGAATTCATCGGTGAAATTGCTAAACAAGAGCCGCAAGGTAACAAATAAATAAATAAACAAGTCACATTTGGTAAGAAAGCTCTTAATGCCACTCTCTAAGCTGTGGGAGAGCCCTCCTTCTCAGCGGCATTAATCGAAGGGTATAAAACCTGCGTGGCCCCCGGTTGGGAGGTTAATGGCTGGAGCTGAACGGGGCTGTAAATACCAAGCCGATCCTGTGCTACCCTGGGTCAATATCGGTTAACGAGGGAGGGTGGGTGGCCAGTCAAGTGGGAGGGGGGAAGTGCTGTGAAGGGGTTTTTTAAGAGAGTTTAAATCTGCTTCACGTGCTTGTGGGCTGCTCTGCCTTCAGCGGTGACAATGTCCAGCTGCCTCGGTCAATTGTGCTGATGAACGCTACCGAGTCATTTTCTTACAAATGGTTTTCGAAGAGGAGAATTTTGATTATTGATTGTTTTTGTTATTTCCGTACAGCATGATGTATGTGGGTTTGCACATTTCCACTGTGAGGGTGCCTTTGTTGCATATGCTTTGTACATATACTTATAGTTTATTTCAAATAAATGATTACTTTTTTATATGAAAAAAAATCTACTATAGTGTATGCAAGTACATGTAAGTACAATAATGACGATCACTAGAAGGCAGATCGAATCCTGCAATTTCATATTCTTATTTGTAATTCCACCCATTATCCTAATACTTGATGTGACCACCAACAATCGGGTTGCTTAAAGACAAGACTTTCTATCACGTCCTGCTATAGTTATGAATACTCATTACGTGTGCATGATTAATAGTAGCCACGCATGTAGGTGCAGTTTGCACATCTATCAGCCTGCAAAGCTAATGGACAAAACAAAAGCAACAACAAACACTGTGTGTACGAACGGAGTGTCGCCGCCATGCTGCTTTTCAGGTCACGCTAAGATAGTTCACCTACTGCTGGAGAGGAACTCCTCTGGCACCATTCCCTCAGACAGCCAGGGAGCTACGCCCCTGCACTACGCTGCTCAGAGCAACCATGCGGTGAGCCCACCTGTTCCAAGGCTTGCGTGTCTCCTTTCTAGCTCACCCGTGCTTTTTGTTTCTCCGAGCTATTGAAAGTGTTGTCACGTCATGTTCTTTTTCAATCGTTTCATTTTAACAAACCGTAATCTTCTCATAAGCACGGTCACGTTTTGCATGTGTAGAAATGCTTAAGTAAAGGTTGTGTTGTTATTTTTTTTTCCCCTTTCCAAACATTCCTCGGCGTGATTTTATTGGACAGGCAAGCGTATGATGCGCTCGGGATTTTCTTTTTTTTTTGCAGCTGTCACAGTCAGCTCATTAAGTTTATTGAATAAGGTAGCATTGACTGCTCGTGGCACACGATGTTCATAGTGATGCTGAAGGAGGGCGGAAAAAAAGTACATTCCGTTCATCCGGCAGGAAACGGTGGAAGTGTTCCTTTCGCACCCATCGGTGCACGACGAACCTGACCTGGAGCGCCGTACGGCGTTCATGTGGGCGGCTGGCAAAGGCAGCGATGCCGTCGTGAGCACCATGCTGCGCCTCATTCCCAACCTCGACGTCAACCTCGCCGACAAGTACGGCGGCACTGGTAGGGCCCTCCTGCCCGCACGTGAGTGGCCACGTGCCCAGTGCGGCACCCGTGACAGTTGGCTGTCTAGGTGCCTTCATAGGAGGTGCACCTCGATTTCCTGCTGTTTGATTGTCGTAGGATTTTCATTCTACAGAGAAAGTATTCTGCAAGTACTTCAGTGGGTACATCGGCAGCATTTAAAAGTTAACTTGGAATATTTGGGAATTATATGAAATGCGTTTTCATTCCAAAAATGCAGATCAATGTGTTACAGATTTGATGCTGCCTTATCTCTTAATAGTTTTGGTTCTTCCAGTCGGAAAGTAACACCCTGTCATCTTAATATGACTATAGGTTTGTCATATCGTGAGCTGCCATACTGTTATGTTGCTTACAGAAAATGTGAAATAATCTTGTAATGTCAGCCATACGGCATGACAACTTTGTGCCCGATGTCACTGTGCTCATGACTCACAGTCTTGGAATAATTCCATAAAGAAAAGCCACCGTGACAGACAAATTGAATCTGACCATCCACTGAAATGCCCTGTGTCTTGACATGTGGCACCAGACATGACATGCATTAAGACATCGTTTTCCATCACAATCCATAAAGGTTATATGCGCATGTGTGTGTGTGTGTAAACCTGGATCACACTGACCACAATACATGTTACACGGATAGCTTTAACCTTTACACGTGTCAAAACTTATATCGCACACATCTGCTATCCACACAAGTGGCAAGTGTTTTTTTAGGATATTTAAAAGGTGGAAAAGTTTAAAGATGAGTTCACTTTTTATATGAATTTGTATTAACACTTGTAAAATTTGCATTAACAGGACTGTGCGGTGGCCTTATATCTCATAGTGCTGAGCACACAGGCAGATGAGCTTACAAACCAGTCTTTGAGAAGTTATAGATGTTTGATTAAACTCCCCCAGTGAGCGATTCCACTGGCTTTATTAAACCTGCACTGTCTGCTGGCATCTCACACTTTCTTAACCTTTCCCAGTAACCATATACACTTTGTCTATAAAAACCTTATTTTGAAATCCAATATAGTATCCAGTATAGTGTAAATTGGATGTTTTTGTTATATATAAAAAATAAGACATTGTTTGGATTGTAAAAAAATACTGTTTGAAAAGCACAGGAAAATAAAATTGTAATTCCAAAAATTAAATATTTTTTTGAGCAAAATAATTGAATGCTATATCACTCACGTTTAAGAAGTGATGTGATTGTACAACACTAATACCTGGGGAATAAACTCGATTGTTGAACATAAGGAACTCTCTAAAAATACACAATATAAAGACTGCTACTAATATATACTTAATTAAGTAGTTGTAACGCAATTACAACATCATGTGCTATGTTTCAAACGTTTTACTTAAATTGCAAATGAACTTTTAAGGATTGGGTTAAGTGCTTTACATATACCCAGTGGCAATGGTCATGCAAACACCTGGAAACATAAATTCAATATCAGAATTGCATTTGTAATTGTATCGTAGTTGTACGATTACGCTGGTTTGCCTGTTAGCTACAAGGATATTTCTAGGCATAATTCAGTCAAATTACTGTTACAATTTTGCACTCTGTCTTTTTAGTGTTTTTGCCGTCGTGGCTTTCTCATCGTGTGTGTGAGCTGTCATAACAGCATCATCACGCATGTCGAGCATCACTCTGGGCCATGAGGCTTGTGTTGCAGCCACTTGGCTAGAGAAATAGCCATCGCACCCGTGGGCATGTGTACAGCCCCCAGTGCTGAAAAATAATTCCTGATATTCTATTAGTATTGTATAATTGTATAGCAGTCGCACATGCATAAACAATAAATAGAATTACTTTAACGTTCAAGCTTACATATATATTTTTTAATCTCCCAGTTGAATCCGTTGGTTTAAAATAGCAAGATCATTTGTGTAATTATTTTGAAATCATGAGGTGCACTTATTCATCACCAAACAATGCTCCACATGAGCCTTAGCAGCATCGTTAGGAGGCTTGAAATGTCCTGATTATGATGTTTATAGCGACTGTGGCAAATCCCTGCCGTGGAAGGGGGAGGCCTGCAGATTGATTCCCTCGCTGTACACCCCCCGGGATAACTTAACACCGTAAGCGGATTAGCCACCTCACACCAAGTTACGGAAAACCTGCAGCAGCAGAACGCATTAGGTAATCTAAAAGCGGTTAGCCGGAGATGATTTGACCTGTAGTGTCGAGTACCATTACGTAGGGCGTCATCTTCCACTTGGTTGTCGCTACTCGTGCACAGCCGTGTAACAACAAAACTGCGTGTTTTTATGTTAGTCATGGTCAGTGTAAGATGGCAGCCTTCACGCAGCCCACTCTGTTAAGTGAGAAATCACGACGAATGCTATCAACGAACATCGATCATCAATCTCCTGGTCTCCAGAGCAACAACACAAGTGCCAAACCTGATTTTTAATGCGGTGTAAAACTGAAGCAATGGATGGTCACCCCATTTCTTAAAACATAATATCAAGTTTTTGTTGATACCACGTGCCACTCGGTATTAAAAAGTTTAAGTGATTCCTACGCAAACGAGCACTTGGAGGTGGTGCCCATTTGCAGTCCTGAGCCACATTCTTTATCGCAGGGGATAGTATTCAGAGGGCAGCCGCCATTCACTTCCCCACGAAGTGCTACTCATTTTATCGACTTCAAAAGAATCAACCCCCAACCACGAATTTAGCTCGCAACCTCACAATTGTGAGCTGCTCATTGTACCGCTGAGCCACCCGGCCGGATACTCAGTATTAGACCATTAGAAAATCGCTGAAAAATTACTTAACAGAAAATAAAAATGTTGAGGTGGGAAGAAACATCCCCGTTTGTTAAACATTATTTAAAAGACCTGACTGAAAAACACGCCCGTCTTTGTATACTCGGTTACTTTACACATGGGCGATCATGCGGGCGATCGGTCGTTCGGCCAGACTGTTGCATTTTTAACCGGGTCCTCAAGCCCGTTTGCTTATCCAAACAGCGCTATTTGATCTGCCGAGCGACTCAGGTGGTGCGTCCGCCTGCGGCGCGTCCATCCCGTCTTGCGCGTTGAGTCGCAGGGAAGGCATCGTTTTGTTTACTGTTTGCGAGTCGGGACGAGGGTAAACCGCTCCGGCATGTTTGCAAGGTGCTACCCCTTCCTCCCCTCCCCGTTTCTGCAGCGTTGCACGCGGCCGCGCTTTCCGGTCATGTGAGCACGGTGCGTCTGCTGCTGGCCCACGGGGCGCAGGTGGATGCAGCCAATGTCATGAAGCACACGCCGCTTTTCCGCGCCTGCGAGATGGGCCACAAGGAGGTTATCGAGACCCTGATTGAAGGTGCGTGCGCACGCACATACGCACGCCCGTGCGCGTCTGCTCCACACTGCTCCCCACCCCAACCATCCACCCCCCTCCCGCCCCAAGTTAATTTACCCTCTCAGGGCATAGAATATTTATAAGTTAAATGATTAATGTGCTGTGTTTGGATTGTATTGCCTGTCAAGTTCATTCATAAAATTATATCCATTTTTTAAGCAAATTTACATTGCCTTGAGAAAACCACCTTACAAATGTTTTTCCATTAAGATACGCAGTATTGAAATGTAAACAGATCTGTACGTAATTCCTCATGATATAATTATCAATATTTATGCGTATTAAGGTGCTGCGTAGCAAGATAAAAAATTCTGTCACATCCTCCTTATAGTGCAGACGGGAAGATGATCTCTTTCACACAATGCATGGTGCGCCATGTGCTTTTCCACAAAGGGGTGCTTTTTCGGGCATATGTGCACATATATCTGTGAATTTGTATATATGTGTATACTGCGCGTTTGCATGTATGCGACTATGCTTTGTTCTTATATGTTTGCATGCGCGTCTGCTTGTATGGCCACGTGCATTTGTTTGCGTGCTCATGTGTCTGTGTTTATGCTCGCTCACGTATGTGAAATGCAAGGCGGTGCGCGGGTGGACTTGGTGGACCAGGATGGACACTCCCCTCTGCACTGGGCAGCTCTGGGTGGAAACGCAGACATCTGCCTTATCCTAATTCGGAATGGCATCCACCCAGACGTGCGGGACCATGTGCGTCGCACCCCGCTCCAGTGTGCTGCATACGGAGGCTATATCAACTGCATGGTTGTTCTGATGGACAGCCAGGCTGACCCTAACATACAGGACAAAGAGGTGCGTGTGAGCGTGGCGCTCCTGAGTGCGAGCGACATCAGCACCACAGCTGTGAGGTGTTAACAGTGCAGGCAAACACCGCTGCTTCAACAACACTGCCTCACACGCACTGAAATTCTATTTCACAGGTTGTCCAAATTATCCAGACGATGCCACTTGTGTGAGATGCCAGCACTGGGACTTATCACGCAGCAGAAAAACGTTATGCTCTTGACCGGGTTACAGAATCATAAATAAGGTTTCAGTGGTCATCTTGCATTTTAACAATCACTGTCGTTTATGTGACATCCCAGTTCCTTTTCATCAAAATATTATAAACCATAAAAATATATAGCCGATAAATGTTTGCTCATAATGATATATGAATACTATAAAAGGTGGCATCCACTGCTTAGAAAATACACAGACCTAATTTTCCTCCAAGAGAGTGAAAATGTTGCGTTAAAATTCCTACTGCTCCCATCAGCAGATAGGTTAGCATGACAAAGAGATCATTCCATCGGGTGCTTTACAATTGTACTTGTATACAATTTAAGACACGATTAATTTAATTAATTGTACTTGGTCTAATTAAGCGGCGCTATTGATTATTGGTCAACTTAAATTTCCCGTTTTCCATTGATTGAGCACAATCCAGGCTCACGCTGCAAAGTGAAAGACATTCTAGGTTGCTCGTGATCATATTTGTATTGTTATAAAATGCATATTTTATATTATAAAATTGGCCTTTTAATAAAATACCACAATGCAATTCAGACCTTATAGTCACATTCAGTAGTGTTTTCATTCAAATACCATGAATATGCCATATGCATTTTACATTCTGTGTATTATTACAGGTATGCACTACTTGTATTGATGCGTGCATGTGCAGTAATCGACAGTCATTAACGTGCATCATGCAGCCACGTGTAACTCTTGAACTCGTGTATCTCCAGGGCATGACAGCGCTGCACTGGTGCTGCAACAATGGTTACCTGAACGCAGTCAAGCTCCTGTTAGAGTACGGAGCCTTCCCCAACCACATGGAGACCAACGAGGAGAGGTACCCGCCCCTTGCACCCGTCCACGACAGCGAAAGCCATCCATTACCAACATAAGTAGGGCCAGCAAAAATCTGCGGAATCACCCGCTTCCCTTAACAACGTTCAACATGTGATGTACTCATAAGTGACTTCGCTGTCCTTCAGTCAGACAAATACGTCTATTTTGCGTGGATACATTTTTTTTACGACATTTCGCGCGTGATATTCCGTCGAGCAAAGACCGTGTACCCATTGATTTCTGTTCATGTTGGTAATAGTGGTTTATAACGAAGCAATTAGAGTTCATTTTATGGCAACTGCCGCAGTGTGCATTAGTGAATTGGTTAATTCATAAATTTTACGAATGTAGTTTAAAATTACAAAATGCAGTGGGACGCTTAACCACTGTATTTGAACGTGGCTTCAGAATGCCATATGGACTAAACGTTTAACGACTAGACAAATGCGGATGCTCGGTGGTAACCTACTGGAACTTTGATCAGGGCAGCAGACGTTTTCATTTTCAGCAAATGCTAATTAGACATTTTGGAATGGCAGAAGACGAGTGCCCAGGATTCTCACATCCTATGCTGCTCGCAGTCACTGTCATTGCTTATTCACAGAGGCTTTTGCACCACCGGCTTTACTCGAGCTGAAGCTCACAAAGGGCCACGAGATTGGAGCGAGAGAGAAAGAGACCGCTGGATAAATAATGAATGACGAATAAATCATGCTCTTTCTTCTTTACTTTGTTGTGTTTACTGTGGCTGAAGGGCCGCTGAAATGAGCTGTTAGTGTATATAAAGAGGGTGCAAATGGCGATGAGCGTTATTCGTCATTTCTGATTGAATGTGACAGTCCGGTCAAACTTCTGAACTGGGGGAAAAAAGACTGCCAAAGAATGCAGGTGCTTATGAGTAATATATATGTATACTGTCAAAAATATATTTTTTTACATTATCGCAATACAGATTACAGTACAGCGTATGTATTCTTTTGCTGTCTGTATTATCCGTTTAAAATTACTTTGCCGTAGTATTTCAGAACCAATGAACTGCTTCCATGGGTGTGGGAGTTACAAATAAGCCCGCTTATAAGCACCAGCTCAAGCTGCAATGTGCATCATCATGAATCGCACACAGAGTATCAACATGAACACGAGTCAAATAATTTGTCTGAAGCTTCGTTTTTCTTAATCATTGTTTTCTCCATTGTTTCATGGAAATAATTGAATACTTATAAATGTCCAACAGCGTGCGTATTCCAGAATAGTTTTTAAATCAAGAAAAAAGATTGCCATATATCTATATACTTGAGCACACGTCATAGGAAATTACATCTGCATGTGGCAGAGAATGAAACTCGCTCATTATGCACTCAGTCACGTTAATATTTTAAATAGTGCCTTACCTGTTCAAATGCAGTATCCTTGAATGAGAACGCTGCTAATTGTATAATTACCATTGTTGGGTATGACTACAGCGATGATCTGTGCCCTCAGAAAGCTCCACGATCTGTTGGGTCATTGTAACAAGGTGAAGCATCACTCTCACATCCTGCAGGCTTTGAGGTTGACTAATAGGGCCTGAGAAGAAAAGGCAAAGAGGCAAATGATTAGAGCTTCCATTTTTTCCTTTTGCAACTGCAGAGTGTTTGTTGTCAGCACATTAATTTCCTCCCTGAAATATTTGTCTCGGAGATTAAGCGCTGGTCCCTGCCAGGGTCGTATGTCTTGTGCACAGCCCCAATCTGAGCGCTCGGGGATGAGTAATTAATCTTGCCGAGCTGTTTTGGTCTGTAATCCATTTGTATCCCCGAGAAATAATGAGTGGGGAGTTTGTTTCGAAGGAGAAAAAAACAAGTATCGATAGTGATGTAAAACTCTTGATGGGAAAGGGATTGCGGTTTAATTGCGCAGCGCGATGAACGACTTACTGCCTGGGCTAGTTTGACGCCAGACTTAAATCCTACCGTGTACCTTGATGTATAATTTCAGTGAATGACAAGACAGAAAGGCTAAAAGTACCAAAAATACGGCTCGCCGATTTATACATAGAAGACTATTATATGGCTTCCATCTAAAATTATTGTGTGTGACAAATATGCTTGAAAATGTTAATTTATAGATACTCGTAAAATAATGGAACTGCCGTGCTTATGCAAGTTCAAAAAATGTGTGTTACTTAACAGTATGTTTATGCAATACATCAAGTTCTCCTGTGCTGTCCTGCATCTCTGCGCATACGTACTAGTGCTGAAAATATTAATCTGGTAGTGTTGTGGTAACAATAATGTGCAGGTTCTTGTTTGTATACAGTATTTGCATGGATATGTTAATAACCTGGAATGCAGTGCACTAATCAGTGTAATTTTGAATGTTCTCCAAGATTAGATGAGGCCGTAAAAAACATTTTAACTTGTTTTTCTGCACAGTGCAAGTGGTACATTGGTAGAGCACTTATTTGGATGTGTTTGCTGAGGCATGCATGTAATGTGAGTGGTTACAATGTGTGCACGGATTTGTGTCTGAGAACCATTTCATAAGCGGCACAGAGATTAATCACCGAGGGAGATTGATTGATTGTCTGACATTGAACAACAGCCTCTGGTTTTCACCATGTGTTCTGTCATTTGGTCACAATCTCGGACACAGCTAAATGACTAAATAACCAGATCATTGATTTCACATTATTTTCCAAGGGCCTATAATATTGCCTGGAGACACTTTCTGCTGTATTTAGAAAATAAACAAAATATGACATAAAAACTAGATTATTGTTTATGGATACTGTTTTGTGCATTTTAAATCCAGTCATTTAAATTTTGTACTCCTGCATAGGTTTTTGCGATTGTCCTGTACAGCTCTCCAAAGTGTTTTCGGGTTGTACCACACGTTGTTCGGCAAGAAGTCTGACAATTTGCGTTACGTGCAAGGAGCTTTAGTTCAGTTCCATAAATAAGCCTGGAAACACATCAGACAGGCATTTGCAATGTTATTTTATCCCACGGTCCATCTTGTGTATGCTTATCATATCGTTCTGGCTGTTTAGCAACAGTGTCAGAGCTTGATCCCACCACCTTCTCCCCATTCACCTTGACCCTAGGTACACCCCCCTGGACTACGCCCTGCTCGGAGGGCACCAGGAGGTGATCCAGTACATGCTTGAGCATGGGGCCCTCTCCATCGCCGCTATCCAGGACATTGCTGCGACCAAGATCCAGGCCGTGTACCGCGGGCACCGTGTGCGCCGCTCCTATTTGGACCGGAAAAAGTTGCTCATGAAACACGAGCAGCTACGCAAGCATGCAGCCAGGTACTGCCCAGGGGTGGGGTGCGTCAACAACAACAACCAAAGGGAACGCAAAGACTGCAGTCCTATAATAACAGTCTGTCAAATAATCTCCTTGCTGAAATGCGTGTGGGGTGGTGTTTTTCTCTGTTGGCACTTCTAAGCCAGTGGTAGAAGTTCTGAAATCCTATGGGGGGGCCCAGTCTCTACATATGACAGCCGCTGTTGACGTTACTCAAAGTGTTACTCATATATTGACTCCAATTGTAAACCAAATGCTCTGCCATAGCACCACTTAGTCAAGGTATAGTAATAGTCTTGTATTTATCCAGGATAGCCTCTCTGTGTCTAAATATACATTTCTTAGAGTGGTTTGCTTTAGCGAGGAAATGGTGGGCCCTAAAGAAATCCCACCTATGATTGGGGGTGACATTCAAAAACCACATCTACAATTCAAGACCACATTTTCTGTACTGCCATCAGTACATGCTGAAATCTGCACGATCCATCGTGGCCAGAAGTGAGTCTTTTAAGCTTAGAGGGTAAATGTGGGGTGGGAATAGGGAAGAGGGTGAAGGTTTGACTTAAATAGGTAATGACCCGAGCCCAAAACAGGCACATAGCACACATGCATGATTTAATGCAACATGCATCCTGTTAATGCAAGCCATTATTTGTTCACACCCATAGCCTTTACCTAATACCAGTGTCTGGTTGTTACGCCATGCTGATGGATATACATCCAGCAGCATGTGTAGCTGGGAACAGTGACATGCTCTACCCCAGTGAGAGTTGGCACGGTCACAATAGGTGACTTAAGAAATCCAAGGTGGGTCCAATGTGCGTGTAGCCGTGTACGTCAAACGAATGCACTCCAGGAGATTTGTGTAGGTCAGACATTTAAAGTCAAAGCTCTTGCTGAAAACAGCCCAATACTCTTTTTATTGTGTATACAAACTATAATATATAATTTACACGTGTACCTTTATACATCACATAAACAATCGACACACAAAAGGTAGGATGATGCCCAGCAATGCATAAAACTCGGGTCGTGACTGCACAGCACATTTATTTACTGTCCTCTTAATGTCCTATACCTGTGTATGAAACAGTTTGTGTGGGTCAGTGTAGGCATAAGGTGAACTGCTACTACACAGGAATAGGTGATGTCAACATATGGCATTGTATTGAGATTTCGTAATAACAATAATGTACAGCCCTTTGTCAATTCCCTGCTTGGTGAAGACCTCATGCAATATCTGTCATGGGATTGTTTGAATACACTTCAGCACGCTCGTCAGTGTGGGTTTGTATATTCTGGGTTGGTAAATTATAAGTTATGATGCCTTAATTAAATCTTGCAGGATACAGTCTTATCCGACCAGGAACACATAGGCAGTGAACTCAAGCACGTACACCAAGCTCTTAAGGCTAATGGTTACTCCGACTATACAATCCGCAAAGCTATCACTCAAACCATGAAGAAGGACCCTCTTGAGGAGCCTTTCAAAACCATCACTTTACCCTACATTGCGGGGATCACAAAAAAGATCTCCAAAATCTTGAATAAACACAAGATCCAGGTGCGTTTAAACACATTACATAAAATCCGTGATCTGGTTCCGTCTGTAAAAGATGTGATTCCAGACATACAGTACCCTGGTGTCTACAAACTAAGTTGCCTCTGTGGTAGTAGTTACATTGGAGAAACCAAACGACATGTCTCGGACCGCATTAGTGAACACAAAGCAGACCTTAAACACGGTAGGACCAACACCTCGGCCGTGGCAGATCACTTATAATTCAGTAGGCTCACATGACATTGACTTCTCCAAGACAGAGGTTCTTTGCAAGCCATCTGGCTACCATGAGAGATTCGTTCATGAGGCTATCCACATATACAAACACAGAGACAATTTCAACCGAGAAGATGGATTCTGGCTTATCAATCATTGGAAGGATTTGATAAACCATTTCGGGTCTTAATTGATTGTTCACGCTTAAGGTGGCTTTCAGACAGCATACATTAATTTTTCGTCTCCCCCCTCCTCTTTTCCGAACATAGATGGACTCGTCCATCTAAACAAACTGCCAAATCGCTCTCCGTGGTGCTAACGTTTAAAAATAAATCAATATATACAAACCGCCACTTCTTTTAAATGTTCTTGCCGTTGGTTTTCACACCTGATGATGACTGCTTGTGTTGCAGTCGAAACGTCGTGAGAATTTAATTGTTTTATATATTATTTTATTGCTTCCCTTCAACGTGACTTTACCGAAAGAACCAAGAATATAGTATAACTGGTCAAAATAATATATTTGAATAATATTAGAATCATAAGATTTGACATGGGCCACAGCCTGATTGCTTTTGTGTGCATTGACATGTGAACCTTATGGCGGGACCCCGGGGTCCCATAAGCCCGCGGCTCTCGCATAAACTGCGTTGCGACGTCATTTTATGTCTGTTGAAGGCGAACGATACGGCAATATATTCTTCTCGACGGGCTCTACACAATGCGCTAATCAAAGTTTCAAAGTTTTGTTTATGACTACGGCAATTTTGGCGACGAACCGGGGTGCTTGGTGAAGAACGAGAGGATTGATTTCTGGTGGGTCGCGGCGTTTATGTGCGTGGTGGGACGAAGTCGCCAAAAATAAATTAATTACGATGTTGACTTCCATTTATTCGGGACCCCAAGGTCCCGCCACATGGTTCAAGTATACAAAGAGTACAGTTGCAATGCTGCGCACAGTATTATGACAATCAAAAAAGATAACTCTTGTATGTCTAAGACTTAAGGATTACACATTTTTATAAATGTCTCTTCACGTAACATGGTACAGCATCGGGCAGCACATTGCCTCGCACTGCCGATCCACAACAGAGAGCAGGTGAAAGGCAGCAAGTGGAGGCTGAAAAAGCGGCTCGATAATTATCAGCGCCCTTGATGCATCATATGACAATGATGCAATGTAAATCCTAGCAGGCAATGACGGCATCTGACGTAAATTACAGATGGTGTCTTGAGTTATCGCCTCGGAGCGCTGTACACGTTGCTGTACTCGCAGGCTGAGCTCTAATGCAAGTCATGGAGTGGGAATGTTTATCAGCGACTGAGTAAAGCGGTGGCAGCTGCGCTTCCCTTGTGTTATCTTGACAAAACAATTGAGAGTAATGGCACGTCCACACCTCTGTTCATTCTTCAGCCACTGAGTAGTAATAGGACAGGACAGATGCCCTCTTCGATATCGGTGAGGCTGTCTAATGTTCCGTGGGGCATGTCAGTTTGTGGCTGAATTGTGCTCTATGTGCATGTTGTTTAAGCACATTAAATCCATTATGGCAGAGTGGATAATACTGGCAAGATATGATTTCGTAGTGTGTTTACATAAAGGGCTGCTACATTATCCTCATCTGAACCAGTAGTTATCCTTAAAATTGCAAGTTACGTCGTATATTTTGTGTTAGCGTGAAATAACTGTTTTGCATTACCTGTATATTTTTTTGTTTTCGAGATTACCACGTACAATCATAGAGGCAGATTCCCATTGCCATCACAGGGAAAATTATAGAGACAGTTTTTTTTTTTACCAGGTCCTAAAGATATTAAATGATGCCAAAATAGTACTTATGCTTGTAATGTTATTTCACATATACATATATATCTGAAGCGTACATTTGTCAGTTGTTATTTGGGAGATCGATAACAGTTAAAATCTTGAGATCACTAAGCTTGTGAGATGATATTGCACTCAGCATCAACCTACAACCAGTTAAAATGCATCCGGTTCTTCATCAATATTGAATATGTTTTATCATGATGCATTTAAAGAGAGTTTTTAAAGTTCAATTATGAATATAGTTTTCCACACTTCCAGTGATTTCAAACTTTTGCTAAGACTCAGGGGCGAAGAAGCGATGCTGCAGCTGAATTTACAAACCATTGGGGTTACACAGATCTGTGTCAGGTGTTGCTTTTTAATTAATGAAAACACGCAAAACCCCTCTAAGCTGCCAAGGCTTCAATTTGAATATATGTAACAGCTGCAGAAATAGCTTTTAATTAGCTTGTTTAATCTCTATAATAAAGCCTAATATGTGTTTGCAGTTTGGTAAATTACTGCACACATGCTTAAGAGAGGCCCCACTGAAACAAAGCAATATTAATCAGCTTACAAAGTCTCCAAAGGCTTTTGTGACTACGGCATACAGATTGAATGTGACGAGCGCACAGAGGCATCAAATGAAAAATACCACATCTTTGTTTTTGTGTTGAATTCTACACAGATATAAAAGCCACACCTGGTGTCTCGACTGTTCGGTAGGGGGCTTTTTGATTTTCTAGAAAATGTGACACTTCATTTGCAACTCCCCTGGCTCTCTCTTATATTTATATGATAGCCGTCAATTTATTTTTCCCATGTCTTGTCTGCCGTGGCATATGTTTTGAAAATGTAATATTCCAGACGTTGGCGTGGATACACAGCTCATTAGCTGAATGGATTCACTGTGCAAATAAGAAAACTTCTGTTGTTATTTACAGAATAGCTATACTCTGCTACCGAGTTTTACCAAAATTAATTATGAAAGTTTTCAAAGATACCATTAAATATATACCAGAGCTAAAGGTCAGTGGGGATTTATTCGAACAAAAAATATATATGCAAACCTCACCTATTCGAAGTAATACCGGGAGCGGGGAGGGGCTTGATAGTTGGAAGATTAACCTTTTTGTGAATATGTGAAGGCTTTCACATGGACACGTGTGAGCTGTAACTGACAAAAGCTTAGCAAAGGACACAATGTGAAACGTACAATATGTGCTGGGTTTTTTTACCAAACTTTTTTGACATATAAAAGGTGACATGTAACACCATGCTTTTTAAATACATTTTATATTTTCATATACTTATAAATAAAACATATTGCTGTACAGTTAAAAAAATGTGAAAAGTTTAATTTCTGAATATTTGAAGTGAGAATAGACGAGGTTTGCCTTTACAAGCTATCTTGAGAATTCTGGGACGTTTATTGGTATCCTTTGTTCATTGTGGTCCCACCTATTTTTTAAGTAACAGAAAGCGTCCTTTCTAACCCCAGCAGGAAGAGAGAGGAGGTGAACAGAAGAAAAGAGGCAGAGCAGCAGCTATTGAAGATTGGAGAAAGTGGTGCCGAGGCCCAAAATCAAGAGAGGCTCGCGCAGCAGGGGGTCCACAGGAAGGAGCCTTGTGCAGAGACCACGCTTGAAGGAGGAGAATGTGGTACGATAAGCTGAAGCCTCTGTGTTGTAAAATAATTGGGTCAGCAGTGGAAGCACAAAATGCGTTCGTTTGATGACCGATCGACCGCGGTTATATTATTATTTGTACAATTTGGGGTTTTAAAAGGAAGCTTTGAATGAGATGAGCATTCCTTCTTGCGAGGCGGGCTCTGTTATGTTGCTGTAAATTGTGCATTTACTCGTGCTTGCACATGTCAATGGGAAGGAAACATTTTCCGAAGCTTAATAACATAAAATGTGTATTTTGGCTTATGATCTAAAAAGTATCTTTGGCAAACTGGAAATGGTGGCACTGTTTAACTGGCCAAACTATTCAAGCGGCCTACACCAGTGCTGTTGTCGTTTTCTCTCAAAGGACGACACGCTCGTGAGCAGGAGAGACCGAAGCAAGCACCGTCTGCCACGGGCACCCGTGGTCCCACCAGGTCTGGTGCTCCAGAGAAGGCCCCATCCAATAGCGCTGGTGGTGAGGCACCAGAGAGAGCTGATGCAGCCACTCTGCATCATTCAGCCTCTGAGGGTGAACTGCGGGCATCTTTCGCGGGCCGCGGAGCGACCACCAAAGCGAAAAGCGTCCAGCAGCTGCCTCAGCCCGACACTGCCAGTCCGAGTCCCAGGAGCGGCAGCAAAGACCCGCCGCCGCCTGGAAGCGCCAGCGGCGGCGGTGGCGGCGGTGGCGGCAACAGCAATGGTAGTAGTAGCATTGAGAAACGCAGCTCGGCTGGGAGAAAAAGCAAAGCTGGCGACGTTGCAATTGGTAACCAGGTGAGACCAGAGAAACAGTCTGGTGGATCACAGCAGCAAAACAGTTGTGAGGATGCAAAGAAAGAGAAAAAGCACCATTCAAAGTTTAGAAAGGAGGGCAAAATGTGTGCAGATGGCAGTGGGTACTGCTGCCACAAGCACTCGTTGGGTTTGTGTGGACGGACCTCACCGGTTTTGAGCAGTGACAGAAGGGATGCCAAGCATTCACACAGAGGCACATGCAGTGAATGTAAGTATCGGCATCCAGAGAAGACGGGGAAATCAAAAAGCACGCATAACAACTTGTCAAGAATAAACGAAGATGCTGTACTCGGAGCTTCGGCCCAGAATCGAACATGTTCGGCACATGGTATGCAAATCCGGCCAGAGAACGACGAAGAAATACCTCACGTCACAAAAACAGGTCAGAACATCGTGTTATCTGACTCTGCTTATCATGCTGTGCTTTCATTGTTTTTAGTTTACATTACAAACCACATTTTAGTATTTTCATTTGTCCAAATTATTTAATAGATGCTCTGATTTGATATCTATAGCATGTAAAATCATTTTAAAACTCGCGGTCTCATTTGTGTCCATTACACTTTCAGAATCAGCGAAATCGTCGCCACAAATTTGCAAGAGAAATGAAAGAGATTATCCAAGAGGAGGGGGTGGCGGCACGTGGGAGGCTGGAGGCAAAGGTCACGCGCTGCCCATTCCACACGGCTCGAACATTATGGAGCTGGCACTTGAGGTGCGACTGCAGACCGTACAACGGGAGAGGAGGCGCAAGGATCTCTTCCGGAGGAAGCAACAGGCGGCCACCCTCATCCAGAGGACGTGGCACAGGTGAAAACAAACACCTCCTGTGCCTGCATAGGGTCCTGTGGTGGGTGCCTCCTTGAGCGGGGGTGCCACGGTGGCGAGATGTTAACTACCTCGCCTGGTATACAGGAGGTCGTGGGTTAGATCCTGACCCCGTCACCTGTATATTTGGAGTTTGGATGTTCTCCCAGTGGTCGTGTGGATTTTTCTCTCGGTCGTTCTGTTTTTCCCTCTACATTTCGAATCATGCATTTAGATTATTTGGCTGCTTTACATTTCCACATGATAAGCCACTTCGTTGAGCTATAATTTTTGGCCAGATTGCTTCTGAAAAAGAGCTATATAGCTCAGTGGGCCTTACCTGGTAAAATAAAAAAAGAGTTTAAATGACTTGGATAGCAATCCAGATTGTACCATCTTGTCATTGGCTTCAAGCAATAGTGACAGTTTGGCAGATGGGTGTTCTGGCTCAAGTCTTCATGGAATTTTAACAATGCTCAACTGCATATCATTGACAAGATTCCACAATGTTGCATAATCTCTATGCAAATAATGGCATTCTGCTACTTTCAAATCTTGTGCTTTTGTGCATTTTCTCACCTGTTGTAGTGACCACTCCCCGTGAATTTTGATCAGTGTTTGCAACACTACCAGGTTTTCTAATATATTTGGCACCAATGCATTTTTTGCTCACGTATATGTAACTGCTTAAATATGGTTATTGCGGAGCCCCTCACAGCCGCAGAGCACTCGCCAGCTTGGCACGTGAGCACTACACCATTCCAAATCGGTACGCCTTGGGAGATGGTAAAAGCCAAACAAGGCAAGTGTCCCGGAACTGAACATGTCACGCTGCATTTGTCTTGATCACACGATGGATGCGTCGTGTCTCCTTGCCGCCCCCCCTCCCCTTCCGACGATCCCCTCTTCTAACACTCCAAACACTCCCAGCCCCCCCACTCCCACCATTGCGTGGCACAGCAGCTGTATCATGCGTGCCAAGTTCCTTTGCACCATGCCTTGCACTACCCGTGTCCCCATGTACCAAGACGCTGCTGTGGCACCAGCGCTCGCTCAGGCGTTCCTTTGTCCCATGGTGGCTACAGCGTGTGTCTCTTGTTTTTTGCATTATTGATTTTGTATTTTTTTTCGCTCCATGTGAAGTTGCGGGGCTCTTATTTATTAGCGAGCGGCAGCGCAGTAAAAGGCAGTTTTCAGTTAAGTGGAAATAATTTCTTAAATAGCATGCTCTTTTTACTGCATAGTTACTGATTACAGCTCTTATGGCAAATACCCCAGAAATAATTTCACTGAAACTTGGTAGTTTTTGGATTATTAAGATAAAATAAAACAATGACCACTCTCAAGTAATTCCTATTATCTTTTCGTTCTACAATGTTATCCTTACATGTGTTTTTTCAATTCAATATGTACATACCCATCAAGAAATGTAAGTATGTAATTACATTCTATATTACAAAGGACTGCCTGTGTATTTTATATGCCACTCATGTCAGTTTCCTTTCATTACCCTCAGGTACAAAGCACATCAACTGTGCGTGTCTAAACAAGCGACAAACACAACACTGTCCAGAGTCAACAAAGCCAAGACGATAAAGGACAAATCTTCCGAGCAGCAGAGCAATGGCCAACAGAGAGCACTGGCAAGCAGATCTCCTGTAAAACGCGCATCAAAGATCAATGAGGAAAAGATGAAGCTTGGCAGCAGCAGGATAGCAGACGGGCCATCAGCAGTGGGCAACAGTCACTCAGGGATTCCCGAAGGTGCTCAATCGAACGGCTCCGAGATGGCTCCCCATGCACCGCTTTGCTCTGATCCTGATGAGCGCTGGAGAAGAGAGATGGCCGCTCTCACCATCCAGCTCGCCTGGAAAAGATTCCATGCAATCAGGGAGCACAGGGAGCCCAGGCCACACCGGTCGGCCAGAGGACGCTGCAGCAAAGTGGCCCCTCGGTGGGATGCACGGGCGAGGGCAGCAGCACAGCTTGCCCTGATACGGCGCGTCTACGGTAAGAGGCAAGCCACAGGCAACCTATGTAGCACAGCACAGCCCCAGCTAGTGTGAAGGGTACATCGGCAAGCTAGTGTGAAGGGTGCACAGAAGTGAGGTAGGCACTAGTATTGAAAGAATAGTGCTAATAAATAAGGCAATAGGACTACAGATGAGCATCTGCTAAATACGAGGTATAACATAGTTAGCGTGCATGCCTAATGCAAGCAATGCACTTGTTCTGTGTGAATGAGGATATATAGAAATCTAATTGCGACTCTGTACTGTGTGTAGCACATTTTTGACATCAGTGGCCACACGTGTAACTTGTAAAACATTTGTTAAATACCATTTCGTTGATTCAAATTGAAAAGGGAGTCATTATGCCCTCAGAACAGCTGACACGTTAAGGCTTAAACATTTTGCCCTCATAGAAATTTTATAACTCATTTAGTAGAGAATCGGAGAATGTCAAAACCACATTCCCTCAAAAAAATACATAACTTCCATGCTCCGGAGCATCGCTGCTTTGCTGTGAAGTTTGCAGCCACTGGGCCGCAAAGTGAGCAGAGAGGCAGCCGTCCGAGACAGGGTAGCAGAGGGGTCATGGGTGCGTTTCCTCCTGTCACTTTCGTTGAAGGCTGTGGACATATAGATTAGCGGCCTGCGTGAAAATCCACCGCTCGACTCTCCCATAAGCTTGGCGGCCTTCCAAGTGCCACTTGATGCCTTGTCACATCCTTGTTCAGATTGTCAAGAAGCCTATCAGCTGGGTCTATCACCTGCTGCGGCCTCGTGACTGGGGGTTTTTTTCTATTTACTTTATTAGCGTCTCATCTTTATGCGCCCTCTTTTACTGTTTTCTTACCCTTGGACCCCACTGCCATTGCTTCCCGCCACATCTTAGTTTTGTTTGTATATATGTATATATTTTTTTACTCGTGTTCTTATGAGGGGACTGACCACAGGAATGTGAAATTTCCATCACTGGCTCAGGACCTCTCATGGACACATGAGTAGAGACAAAATTAAAAAATATATTTTTTTGGGATTTGTATAAAGTGTTGATGTCAAACTCATACCAATGGTAATGTTAATATTCAATGTGCTTGTATATAAAAACTGCATTTTTGTCTTGATACACGGATGGCCCACAGATGTAGCATGTCTGCATTCACATCACAATTTAATTGGTTAGAGTGTTCATGTCAGACACTCTATTTGCTTTGAAAATTATATCGACGAACATTGCAGCCTTTAGAGGGGATGGTCCACTGAGTAAAATGTTGATATACAATGTCCACATGCGGGATTATTGACACGAAAACATTTAAAGTCACCCCAAGCACAACATTTAAAAACTGAAAACCAATGGCTCTCTTCTGAGTGATCTGTATTAATACAAGGAAGATAGACTTTAAATATATACACGTCACACGCATAACCATAAGGGGCTACTTATTTTGTTCGAAGAAAATGTGCAACAAAATTACATTTACTTAAAAAATGGTATTCGGTGATGGTCATGTTATATCTGCCATTCTGACCCCTTGATTCCAGAAGTTATTAAGGAAAGCCTTCAGAACCATGTCGCTGCATTTTTGAGATGTTATCCCTCAGCAGATGCTTTCCAATCTTTGCTTTTCTTTTCCTTTGCCGGTGCCCTCTGTGCCCCCGCGTATCCCTTCCTCCTGGCTGAGAGCACGACATGACACGTGATGGCTGTTCCTCGCAGGCGAGCCTCAGGGGCCATGTGGACAGCGTATGCCCAGGGCCTCCCCCAAGGCGAGCCTCGCCAGCCACTCTTCCCTGCGTGCCGTGGGTAAGGGGATGGATGCGACACATTCCCCCGAGAAGGTGCAACGGGCGCACAACATTTTTACATCTACCACTCGTGCCAGAAGCTTGCTGCGAGTGACGACAGAACAGAGAAGAGAGGCCAACTTTTGTTTTTCAGGGCCGTGATGAAGGTGGTGCGTTGAATTTCAAAGTTTGAAGGACACAGGAAGGAAGCACACAGGACGGGTTTAATGCAAACTACAATTTTCTTCATGTCAAATGTATAGCCTTACGTTGCATGCTGTGCACTAGTCACTAAACGTATATTTTTCTGCCGGGGTTATATTTTTTGTTCGTATTTGACAAGCACGCACCACAATGTTCATAGAATGCATCATATGAGAGGCAGACCAATATTTTCCTCTGAGGAGCTCCCATACAAAGCACCAAACGAAACTATCAGGAAGGCAATTTCCACCACAGACCGACGATCAATGCTTTAAAACGGGTTCTTTTCCCCAATGAATCATCTTTGATAGTTCTGCCTGTAATCGTGCAGTTGAGAAATGAGCACGTTAATGCAAACACAATAGTTTGGTAATTATATAATTAGGGATGACTGTTTAAGCCTTCAGCCATTTAACGCTCCTTATTAAATAACATCCATTGAGTAATTAAGGAGTCCTCAAACTCAAAAAATATTTACAGAAGAAAATAAAAACTGTCATGAGCCAGTTTTTTTTTGAGCAAGCAGCCTTTAGAGAGACACCGTGGTTATGAAATCTTAAGGTGCTGCACAAATAATGCATTCATGCCGTTGCTCTGGAGCAAACTCGCAAGGGCACAAAAACACATTGTGGCACAAATGCGTATTGGCAGGGCGATGCATATTCAAGGGAATACTGCTCTCTCCAGACGGAGCGGGGAGGATTTGGATACTGAATGCGGATTAGAGGCTATGTTTTATTGATTGTGCTCTCGCTTCACTGTATTCCCAATCTCCCAAATATTAGGCTTTGTTATGCTGCAAAAACAATGTGTTATTATTCGGTGTGCGAGGTGTGCAATGTGATATTATTCGGTGTGCAATGTGTTATTATTCGGTGTGCAATGTGATATTATTCGGTGTGCGAGCGAGGCACAGCGGCACGCAGGCTGGGGTAGGTTTCGCTCGGCGTAAAGACAAACTTGCTGCGAATGAAGTGGAAGTCCTTCAGATTACGGGTGACGGTGGGTCATTGATGGAGTTTGCTGGGTATTAAAATTGAGAGGTTCCCGTAGCTTGAAGGGTGTCGCAGCAGGTGTGAATTTATATTTGTCTATATCTTCGCTGGAGTGTGGCGTTCTAAATTATTCACGATGTCATCGCTGCGAAATAGAATTTGCTGCCCCCTGCGCTGCACCTTTCTCCTTCAGTCAGGCTCCGGCGTGAGTCTCCCTGGCCACAGCTGTAGAAGCGAATAGCGCACTGCACACACAAGGCGCCGCCACACACACACACAAAGACCCCCCGTATAGCCTTAACAGGCTGTTGGGGCAAGTGCTCTATGAAGGCCAGCAAGGCACACAAGGGGATGGGTGCCAACACCACTCCCGGCCACCTTTATCTCCCAAGTGGCGATGTTTACACACTGCACCAGGTACTCATTTGAGGGCGAGTTGACCTTGGTGAGGCCCAGGACCGGTTCAGATAATCGTCACTGGTGTTGGCCGTGAGCGGGAATTGAACTCGGGTTACCGGGTTTGTAGTGCAGCGTGCTACCTGCTACACTACTGCTCCCCCAAGCATACACACACAGCAGACGCGCACACATACAAGCACGCGCACACCCCTCTGCTCTTGCCTGTAGCAGCAGCACACCCCCCAGCAAATCTTGTCCATGTCCCCTAGAGACCCAATTTATAATGAATGCAGACTTTTTTTACAATTATTATAACCACTTTGTCATTTGTCTATCAACGAGGCGTGTGAAAAGAGATGTTTTGGGCAATTCAACAATCGTAAGGAGAGTACTGAGCATTCGAAACGTTTAGAAAATTATGTTTTACTTTTCTACAACACATTTATTCTCCAATGAATAAATGGCATTCACATGATGTACGTCTCCAGATTCCTGTAAGTCTTGTACATGACCACATCAGCATTGGCTCTGCAAGGAAATACGGTTTGGAGAAAATTCCCATGCAGTGAACCAGTGTTGTTGGTATTTTAGGTAGTTTTTTTTGCGAATGGATGTACATGTTCGTCTTGTTTAGGAATTGTCTTTTGTCCAATGACCTAATCCAGAATACATGACGTGACTGTGACCTTCCTATACATGACACTGCACCGGGCATTATATGAAGCTGCGGCTTTTGTTTTATGGGCCGCAATGTGGTTTCTGTCTTCGTCAGACTCTTGCATGCTGCGTGTGCAAGGTGAACGTAATGTCACTGGGAGTCACACTCTGTGGACTTCGACTACTCGCGCTGCGGTTTTGCTCCTTTTATACATAAAAAAATGTTAACTCTTTGCGTCAAACGGGTGGGGCTAGGCCTCACTTTAAATTCTTAAGGGTTTATTTGGAAACAGATGTTCATTTTGGCTTCCCCAATGCACATAGCCAAAAACAGCAACTTTCCGAATGCCCAAACTTGTTTCTCGCTGAATAAAAACTGCCTACGTAAACAGTTGGAAAGATCATTTGCATCCTTCCCAGGCACTGTCTTGACATTATGTACAGCAATAAATGCCCTCCCGTCAGGCCGGAATACCTTTTTATGGAGACGTACATGGCTATTTAATATGTGTGTGTCTAGCCCCGCTGCCGAGTGTATTTCAGCATGAGTACTAGTCCATAACAGTGCTGTCAAGTGCTTTGCCGCAGTCATAGTCCATGAACATGCATGTCTTGTCTTTAAAACGGAAACACATAAAGCATTTTTACAAGGCACTTGCGCTCGCACAGAATGAGGGCAAGAAGGCGGATGGCTGACTATGATGAATGCCCAGGCAGCCAGGCCTCGCGGGTCCGCGCTAAGCACGCTTGTAAACAGTTTGTTTCTGTATAGGTTTTTATGGGCGCAGCGTTGGGTGGGAGGAAGCTGCTTATTTCACCCGGCTCTATTACATGTCAGGGGAGGTTGTAGCCAAGGGCAGAGTGCTAACACTCCATCATAGTGGCACTCATCTGAACTCACGCCACCGTGCGGCCGCTGCACGCTCGCACAGCGGCGATGCAGCCCAGGAACGACGATGGCTTTCTGCGTTAAATGTGAACATTGTTAGACAACATCGTGGTAGGGGGGGGAGCCGTGATATAATTAGGAGGCGGGCACCTTTTGCCGCAGCCATACCAAAGTGGCAACGGAACGAGGAACTGGTTAACTGTAGCTCTTTGCTAATGAGTAATTAATTGGCCGAGATTAAATATTCACAGGATTTTGTTTTCATCGAAAAAAACTGGTTCCCTGGGTAATTAATACGTATTCTTAGTTAAACTCAACACTTAATGTTTTGTTTTCATGTTACTGATATGGGTAATAATGCTGGTTCATTAATTAATATGGGGGTTACCAAAATAGTTATGTAGCAACTGCAAATGCAATTTTACAAGGGCTACAATTGCAGGCCTGTCAAATAATCTGCCAGGTCAAAATGTCAAGTCGCATTTGTAAATTTATATATTAACTTAATGGTACTGGGCAGATGGCATTGACAATAGTACATCTCTGCCACCAGCTAAGCTACTGCCAGCCCCCTCGGTGACAGGACTGATAAACCCAGAACCCCGTAGCTCCCCCAAAAACTAGTGTTCACTGCTGAACAAGCGGCACTTCCAGAGCTCAAAGGGAAGGATGTAATGTGTGTAGCGGAGAGGAGGAGCTTTGAATGAATCATAAAATGAGAGCCAGAAGCCCCACATGTCCAGCGAAGCGTATTGTGGCCTGCATTCCAGCATGGATTGCCCCCACCTTCCCAGACCCCACTCGCCCTCCTCCTCCCCCCTCACACCCTCCCCAACAGTTGCAGGGCCTTACTGTCATTTGCAGATGGCAACATCTGATCGTTAATTGGCTAATTACTCAGGAACTGTCAGGCAGTTAGGGGGCCCATGCTTAATAGCCTGAATGATTTTCACCTCGGGAGGAAACTGCCAGCGAGGCTGTGTCAGGTTTGTGCACTGCAGCACCACGGGCCCCACACAGAACATATTTTATCCGTACCAGACTGTCATCTAAATGTCGGCCCATTCAAATTAAGCAGGCCAGCAACGAACTCTGAATATGCAGGCAGAGGGTGTTTTTTTTTCTGTTTCCGCGTGTGTATGTGGCCGACTGCTTAATCAGGCAACATCCGTGCTCCTCACACATTGCGATGCGTCTTCCTCGTAACTGCACATCACACAGCATACCTACGATTAAGATGCTTACCCGCTGTCACTCAACACCACCCCATTGCATTCACACACAATTCCCTTTGCAGTATTTTCATTGAATGTTCTTTTGATTTACAAAAACATTTCCCATTGATCTTTCCATTATGTAGTTTATTTGAAGATTTGAATCCGTGTATCATTCTTATGTACTAATTCACAGGAATGATTAATTTCACAAGAAAATTTCTTGTGAAATTTCACAATTTCACAAGAAATTAATCATTTCTGGATACTTTGCATGATTATTTCAATGTCCAAAGAAATGGTGTTATTTGGAAGACCAGGTTTCAAATGGAATTGTCATAATTATACTTTAAGCTGCTAGATTTGAATTTTTTTTCAAATAACAATTTTAAAACTTCAGGGAGGGAATATAAATGAAGCAAACACAAAATTGTTGCCACACATTTCAGCACTTTTGCTTGCCAAGTTCACGTGATTTTGTTGCTATGTTATATGATGCTGCTTGCCATAATCTTTGCATTTTTGAAAAAATCTAAAAAATTTCCAGGTGAATATATAAACATTGTCTTGGGTTTTTTTTGTCCTTATTAACCACAGGAGCAAAATAAGCTCAGCCATTATTTGTGAAACACTTCTCAATGCTTTAAAAATGCAGTAGCATTGTCAGAAACCTTAATGTGATTGGCTGTTTTGATACAGTGCACACACGTGTGTCCCTGTTGCAAATGTCTGTAGCGCCGTTGTGTGCAAGTGCAGACAATTCACTGCACGTACAGCTGGAAGCCACTAAATGCTTCCATGAGTGCCAGATCATGTGTCCTGTTGGTCAATGGAACTCCCATAGTTTATGGTTTGGGGCAAACATTTGTTCACCACCTTTCCACGAAAGAGCTGCAGGCAACTCTCATTAACGAGTTTACACAGCACCAGCCTTGCCACTTAACACAGACATTTGTGACGCCGCATATGCATGTCGCCAGCACGACCCCTCCCATCGCCGGATCCAATTGAGAACAAAGCTCAATGTGAACAATGGATGCAAGCAGACTGTGATTCACTGCGGCGAACGTGACCACTGGGGACTCGTCTGCAATGTCGCAAAAAACAAGCACCAAGTGATCACCTGCATATCTGAAAAATATGTACTGTATAGGCCATCTACAACATCCTAACAGTGCACATCACAAGTCAGAGTAGTATTTTTACGTATACCGTGCCTTGATTTGATTATCGTTTAATCTGTGCGTGTCCCCCCCCCCCTGCCCTCTCCTCCTATGCGTTTTCTCAGATGGCGACTTGCTGGAGGCTGTCAACAACCCACGCCAGTTCTCCTACAACATGTCGTCAGCGCGATCCGAGGTCCTCTCGACGCGCGCCAAGCTGCCCTCATCGTAGCCGCCTTCGTGACGGGGGGGGGGGGAAGAGGGGAAAGGTGGTGAAGGCGGCGGACAGCGGGGACAGTCGACGTGGGGCGTAGAGAGAGAGAGAGGAGGGGGGGGGCTGCGGAGGCCAGCGCGTCCTGCATGGCGACGACTGCAGTCGGTGCGATTCTAGGAGACTAGTTACTTGTGGTGTACGAGGATTTATTTAGTTTTTTTACTTTTGATGACAAACTGCTAATATATCAAAAGTACCTTTTGTAAATGATGACTTTCATAATGTAGACCTCGTGTAATTGTTACAAAACACAGGTACGACAAACATTCTATGCAATTGATCTCTTTTATGCATACTTTCCTGCAAAGCACTACATTCTTTGAGGACAAACGTTTTTACCTGCCGCAGAAACTTTTGAAATAAACCGTTTTATTGCCAAAAATATTTTGCGCGATCATATATTTTTCAATACAAACTGTTAAGAGGCGGCAAACGCCACCAGTGCTTTCCCAAAGGACAGCCTCGGAGGAACGCTGTACACCGGTAATAGGCAGGTTCCCTAATTAATGTTGAATTGTTAAAACCGGGCAGGTGAACAGCACATTTCAGGCATTGTGAATGGTCCAATTGCGCTCTGGGGACAGGACCAGATTGAGTTTGGATCAATTGCAATGCACAGAATGCATGCCTTACTTACCTATTCTCGCAATTGATTGTTAAATTAGGCCCGGGGGCAGGTTGTTGCCCATCGCCGGTGTGCACTCATTGTAAGCAGTCTCCCCTTTCGCGTCAAGCCGCTGTGAAATATATCCGGAACGATCACGGTGTCTTTCACTGGTTACATACAATGAAAATCCTGTTTAGGTAGAGCACAGCTTCCGGTGGCCAATCATACAAATTGCTTCCCATTTTGTGCAGCCTAAACTGTGCAATAAGGGACACTGCACGCTCCGTTACATATGAAACATGGCCGCAACATGTGCCGGCCAGCGGGGGCCGCTAAATGAAGGAGTGGTGCACACAAACGCTAAATCAGGTTTTAACAGAGTTAGTAGTAAAGTCTGCCTTAATCAGGGAGCCCAGGATTGATGGAGCAATTCCGCCATGGGGGGAGAAAAAGTCTTAGCATATATTATTTATGCATGATGAAATGAGGTTCATTTTCTGCATGTACGTAATACATATATCTGCCTTTTTGTAGTGTGATTGATTGAGAATACTTTTGAAGGTTGTAAATCACAAGTCCTTGGCAATTTTTAATGTGTCCCTTTAAAAAGCCTCTTTTTTTGCTTCATTTTTATACGTTATCAATTTTTAAATTTTTATTAACTTTGTAACATGCTTCATACCCACACTGTAATGATTTGTATGTGAAACTTTTCATAAATGTTCCTTTTAAAAAAATAGCTATTTTATTTTTTTGGACTTCATACATCTACGGAAACCATAACACTGCTTGTTTTGACCTTTTTAGAAATTAAATTTGTCTTTTTTTCACTTGGCTTGAAGAGTCGTCTTAACATAGATGGAGAGGATACTGCTCTACGGTGTATCTACGATGAATTCATATTTCTTATTTATTTGTTCTTAATCGGGTTTTTTTTGTACCGTACTTCTGAACATGACTGTTTCACCCAGTGCTATTTGTTTGAGATAATGCTTGACATAATAATGAATGTTCCACCAATGTTCCACTACTCTCAATGACAAAAGCAGCGGTTTCGGATGGTATTTAATATCGAATTTACAGCAGCTACTAAACATTCCTTCCAAGCAAGTCTGCTTACAAGTCATAATTCGTCTCAATTATTTTAATATTTAAACAAACATTTACAGTTTTCAAAACTTCAGAGTGACTACAAATCAAGCTGGAGGCATATTTTTCAACACCAAAGTTTATTTGTCAAGTGTTCCTGTTGCAGTGTATAATGATATTGCAAAATTACAGTTTTAGGTGAAGCTATACTTCACTGGTGATTAGCAGGTCCCAGACTCAGCAAGGTCACATTTGAGTAAAAATAAATCCTAAATGTTTCGTAATCGTATCATGCGCAACCTTTTTCCTGTATGTCGCTGAGCTCATGTCAAACCTGGCTTTGAGACATAAACACGGTGAAGTTGCACTTCAAGTCGGTCTTCCACTGCTCCCAGCAATCTGCACCCCCTGCATCCTGTTGAGGACCGACAGAGAAAATGAACAATTTAGAAAAAAAAAGCAAATTGGTGCCCTTGCATAGATCCTCGGAGAAAATGCGATGGAAGAAAGGAGGAATGGTTCAAGTAACAAAATCCCGTTTGGCTCAGGAAAGCCTCCCAGCAGGTAGTGGTTGCTTCGGTGCCGCTAAATAATTTAGCAGCCAAGTTCAGTGGATAAAGGAGTTAATAATAGGGCCAGGTAGCCGCTTTGCCCTTTTTATAATAGGCTGCAAAAACGCATTCTCTTAAATAATGTTTAAACACTGTTTTTGCCGTCAGCCAAGGAGGCCACCAATTTGCTGTATGAATCCGGTAAGAGCACTTAACACTGGGCAAGCCCCGAAGTTTAATAAGGAAAGTTTGCAGTGCGTTAGCATGGCAGAGAACACACAATTCTTCATCTGGACATTGATTTTCGCTGGCGTGCTTTGTAGGTCAGAAACATCAATGTCATAAGCATATCAAACGCTCGGCTGCAGTGATGTGCAGGTACAAAAAATCTGTCACTCACAGTTAGCTGCCTGGGAGAGTCGAAGAGACCTTTACAGACAAGACTATAAATGTCTTCTCCTCTGCCCTCCCCTTTTCTTTTTTTCATTTGGCATTACAAAGTACGCAGAGACATCAGAGGGACCGAAAACCTTTAAACGTGGGCCGTTTAGCGTTGCCCCTTGATCCAGCAAATATGGCGTTTCAGAGGGGAGTCCCAGAAACAAAGAGCACCAACTGGTTTCTGTCGCAGCGTTTAAAGGGTCTTTGTCATGTGCTTGCATGTCGCTGCTTTTTAAAGCGACATAAATCGACCACTGTACTTAATTTGGCCTTGCACTTTCCAGTAATAGCACTTCTTTCCTTTCTAAAAGTGGAACTACCTGGTTTAGCTCCAAATGAAAGGTGTCACACTGGTATGCGATATATGCTTTTAAAGGTACAGAGGTATATTTTAAAGTTCAAACACTTCTACAAAACAAGTAGGTTTCTTTTGCAATGCTCATAGGCATTTCATTAATGCAGAAAAGCCAAATTGTCGACAATATTTAATCACTGACCTATAAAGCTCTTTTTCAGAAGCAACCTGGCCACAAATGATAGCTCAACAAAGGGGCTTATCATGTGGAAATTTATATTCTTGGTTCTTTCGGTAAAGTCATGTAGAAGGGAAATAATAAAATAATACAAATAAAGAAAATTTTCTTGCTGTGGTTTTCACACCTGATGATGATTGCTTGTGCTGCAATCGAAACGTCGTGATAATTTTATTATTTTATTACTTCCCTTCTACGTGACTTTACCGAAAGAACCAATAATATGAATCCCTGCAGTCACGAAAGCTTTAAGTCGAAATGTGGAAATTTATCGCAGCCAAATAACCTAAACGCATGTTTCTAAATAGGGAGGGGAAAACCGGATGACCCAGAGAAAAATCCACAGGGCCACGAGGAGCACTTGCAAACTCCAAATATACAGGCGACAGGGTCGGGATCGAACCCACGACCGCCTGCATACCAGGCGAGGTAGTTAACATCTCGCCACCGTGGCACCCCATTTGGCTGCATTACTACTGGAAGCAGATATGCATGGCCACAGGCATTGTCTCGCCAGACAAGGAGGCGTGATTTGATGGAATTCTTGGCTGGGTAAAAAAAAAAACATCCAGCAGGTTTGTGCCACCTTCTGGCTACATTCAGCAGCAGCAGTATTTATTGCTCAACTGGCACTCAGGGCGCTTATTGCTAATACAGCAACGAAAAAATTTAGACTGCGAGTGCTCGCTCAGCACCGCGAGATTCCTTTTCCCTTGCCAGTCCCATGACTATGCAAGCATCGCCCCCCCCCCCCCCACTGCATTAATGCACACACGTGTGTAACCAACCGTTTATTCCCACAATACAAATGTTTTCGACGCAAGGCTTGCTTTTACATTTCGGTGACTCCTCTCGAAGTCGGACCACAGTAAGGCCGAGATTTAGGGTCATGCCAAAAAAGGCTCCCTGGATTTTATTTTTTTAAAGCAAAACTACTCTCAACGAGAACTTTTTTCTGGAGCACTGCTCATGCATCAATTAAGCCAGTGTGCTGAAGGATGTTATGTTTTAAAAAGTTTAATGAATTTTAAAAGTGTTTAGTTTATAACATTTATGTCAAAATGAGAGCGTGTAAGGTCACCACCAGCAGACCACGTGGTAGACTATAATGGGGACTCTGCTGGTGGCAACCCATCTTAATCTCTATATTTTGCCTGTACTCGACCTATTTTATAAAATACGGTAAAAATGGATTTGAATAAATCTTGTGCTGTACATTTGTTTTGTAAATTAATTACTACAAAACAATGTTTCATAGCAGTATGTTTAACGGATTACTTTGTGAAGTTAATTTATTTTTATATTTAAAAGAAATAGATATGCGTTTTGGAATGTTATGAATACCGTACATTAACGGCCTGTAGTATCAGGACTTGTCGTCAAGCCAGCCACAAAACCCTCCTGTGCTGACCACCTCTCAGCTTCGTGGTGATGTGTACATGACCCTGATTCAAGTCAAGTATTGTTTTACGTGTTTAATTACAAAACATCCAAGCTAACAATTACTTGGTCTAAATTAAATGTATGGCATTCAATGTTATTTCAAGATGTTAAGGAAATTAACCCTTTCCCGTTCCGATGACGTACGTTTACTCCATCATTTTAATTCCGATTCAGTACCGATGACGTACGTGTACATCGTCAAAACAAAACGGGAAGAAACAATCAAATAACTTTACCAGTACCGAGGCTCCCACAAGGCCATGCAGTTTGGCGCCAGCTTTCATAGAGAGCGGTCATGTCGTGACAGTTCTCTGCGGTGAGTACAATGTGTTTAATAATAGCGCTATGCCTCCCTAGATAAAATTTACGCTAACCGCTTGCGCATTCCGAGATTCAGAGGCGAACAGGACCCACACCCTGCAACTTGCAGGCGTCTCTGAATCGGAAAGCGTTAAGATGCACCTCAAACTTGTGCCCGGTATCAATAAAGTTATACAACTTCTTTGGTTCTTTCGGTAAAGTCACGTAGAATGAGAATAAAATAATAAATTGATAAAATAAAATAACACAATAAAATTTTCACGACGTTTCGGCCACAACACAAGCGGCCTTCATCAGGTGAAGGGACGAGACTGTCTGGAGGACAAAGTTATACAAATCTGTTCTCTCACACACACACACACATCTAGAGGATTGTAAGACGCACCCCCTCCCCCAAATGTTGCTTCACAATACGGGGGGTTGGGGGGGGGAACGCGTGTTATAATCTGGAAAATACGTAATTCCGTGTTAATTACATGTACATTTATTAACACTTCGTAATTGTTCTTTGCAGCTAAAGGAGGATAAGAAAAATGTAAAGCTACAAATTTGTAACCGGCACAATTTCTGTAGATTCATCGTCCCCTATCGTCAAAAAGGCGACCTCACCAAATCAGTCCGGCTTCGAGAGGGTTTACTGTTGAGTCGTGTGACTCGGGGGACCTTTCATCACGGTGCTGCCATCAGCTCTGTTGAAATGTAAATACCAACCGGGTTGCCGGACATAAAGCAACGCCGTGTACATCGAGAATCAATCACTGCTGGATGAGGGCCTCGCCGTGATGCAAGGGACATGAGGATTATGTAACCATATTTCACCACGCTGGTCAGTGAGGATTAAGGCAGGAAAGCTTAGACATGAAGAGCATGCACATACAATACAGCAATGGATTTATCTGCACTGCCCTCTACTGCCCAATACGAAGCGTACTCCCACACGGTGGCCTATGTCAACCTGGCATGCATGGTGGTCACCTAGCCAAGCACTATCCAGACTCAACCCTGTTTAGTGTCCGAGATCTGATGAGATCAGGTGCATTCTCAGTGATTTGGTCACAGGTACTGTGTATATACACAAGACTATATTATTGGGCAGCAAAGATTGTACATTTGCTGGACTGTATTTTTTACCCAAGTCTCTTGAGAAATAGACTGTTGAGCTCAAACAGCTCTCATTCAGTCATAAATAACATGCTACTGATAATAACCGAGCTTAAATTTCCCATTTGCGAATAATTTCGGTTTCTCTCTCTCTTATTTTATAAACGTATTAGTGCATGCAAGCATTTTTACTTTCATAACGGTGAACAGGTTACTTGGCAATTAATGGAGTGGTGGACACAAGTTCACCTTTATTATTCGATACCTACAAAAAACCTAAGATGTAATCTATTTTTTTGTTAATATTTAAACAATCATATGAACACTTGAGAAACAATAACAACTAACTTCATGAAGTTTTTTCGTAAATACTCTAATTTTGCGATTGAATGTGTGATGCTATTTAATCACAACTTAATTTCAATATAGCCACAATATGTAGCAAAACACATTAGTCTAGATGCCCTGTATAGATGGATATTAATTACAAATATTTCAGTGCAGAAAAGAATAAACGATGAACAGACTACTACTATCTCACTACATATAATGCAAGATCCATTCAAGGAATTGCAATTCATTTATCTTGAATTAAGAACGGGCGCATTTATATGCATGACACATTAACGAACAGTTTTATAATTGCCTATGTAGACAAATTTACATAGTATTACAAAATAATTTGAAAGCGGGGAAAACACAAGTGCAGCCACCACTGTTTTAGCTGTAGAAGGATGTGAACAATGGACTTTATACATTTAAACAAAGGAAAGTGTGTATACACAATATAAGCACACATCGAAGCATAAGGAAGTTCCACATTGCAGCGTTAAAGATTACAAGCATCCCACAATAAGAATTTTTTTCGCGCTGGCTTTTAAACACTGGCCGGAAATAAAATTGTATTAATCGCTCATTAAAACGCATTTGGATCCCACTTTATTTCGCACGTGCAGCGATTTGCTGCAAAAAGAACCATACACCATGCATCATTAATCAAAACCACGGCCTTATTCTGCTACTGT